GGTAAATGTAATAGATTAGGTACTAGAACAATTTGTTGTTTTTGAAGATGTTGATCAGTGTGAGTTAATTGTTAGTGAATAACAAGCTTGGTTTCTTCTCTCCTAGACTGAACTGTATTAATAACAAAGTTGTTATTATTATTGTAAAAAATGTTGATGTTTATAACGCGCATGTATTGTGATTTCTAAATGTGTCTTAAGATGTTGTAAGACCTTTGCATGTTCATGAAGGCCTGAGTGAAACCTGCAGTAAACCTAGGAAGACTTTAAGAATTGTAAACAAATCCACAACAATAATAAAGTGGTTATTTTTCAAGTCTAGCTTCATCTTAGTGAGTCTGAACTATATCTGCAGGAACTACAAGCATCTGAAAAAGGTTGGAGACAAAGAAAGCAGACTGATAGAAGAGTTTTACTCCAAATCCTGCCAATGAAAATTAGGAAGAAGATACCCTCCAATCTAGATTTTAAATTACCAGGTCTTCAAAATAACAACTAATGGGCTCTTTGTTTAATGCACCGTAGACACTCCAAATTGAAAATCAGACATGCATCTGTCAAGCTGATTCCGGAGGATTGACGGTGTGCCGTGTTTCCTGTTTGTGGTTATGCTTGTCTGTATGACGCTCTGACCCTTCTTCCTGCTGATTTGAGAAGGCAGCTGGTTCTTTTTCTGGTCTTAACAGTCCCTCTTTCTGGCACTGTATTGGAGCTCTAACAAATTGTATCAGCTTGGGAAGACAATGTGGAAAGAAGGTGTTCAGTATGTTCATTGCTACAGCTGAGGCACCTTAACTGTCATGCAAGCATGGATTCAATGCATTTACTCACACTGTTCAAATAGTTAACAGATTGTGCTCAGCCTTATTCATCAAGGCGAGACTTGCTAATCATTCCCCCACCAAAAACCATCCATTTGACTCCATCAGACTACATCAGACAACATCTTCTCGACCTGTGAAGGTGATGGTTTTAATAATAATAATAACATCACTTTATTAACCCTTTACAATTTCTTGCATTAGGAATTTGTCTTTTCGTATACCCCAGCTTTCTCTCCATGAGACACACAGACAGGGAGAGAGCATGGGGTCAGAGCACAGGGTAAGCCATTGTACAGCACCTTTGAAGCAGTTGGGGTTAAGGGCCTTGCTCAGGGGCCCAACGGAGTAGGAATCCTCTTCCAGTTGCAGGATTTGAACCAGTAACCTTCCATTGGAGATCTTTAGCCACAGAGCCACCGCTCTGCCCAAGTGGTTGAGGTGGTTTGAAGTGGTTGAGGAGATCTTTCTGGATTAGTTGAGATTGATGGGGTTGAATAGATAAGTTGATCAGGACTTGACAGGGAGTTCCCACCTTGATGAATATAAATACAGTAGATTTTGTACAGTAGTGAATTTAATCAACGTTCATTAATGTATTTTAACCTAAGCCTCACTATATGCCCATAGAGAACTAGCTCTGTACTTGGCTTTAGCATAAATGCAGAAAGGTTTGGTATCACAGCCTCCAAGCCTAATCTCCAATATATTGTACATGAAAATTAGTTCTTGTATTTCAGCCATATCATCAGCAGTGTGTGGGGTGGAGGGGATGGTGTGTGGGAGTTCAGTTCTCTGGACATTTATACTATTCAGAATGCACTGTTCCTCATTGTTCAGTTTCCCTGCAAGGGTAAAGTAAATCATTTGATGTTTCTGTGGGACATAAGACCTTTAATGAGCTCATACTGTGAGCAAGTAAGGGGTTAGATACAGTTTGTTCAAGATATATTTTCATGGAGCAGACACTGTTCTTTGTGTCTTCTCATCCACATCATCTGATCTCCACATGAAATATTTCATATTTTCTGTGGAATAAGATTTCCATCAGTTAAACAGAAATGCGGGACTTTGCAAAATGACAAAAACAAAAAAATCGATTCAGAAGGCTAACAGAATTAATGGAAATAAAATAATTTGCAGTGAGGCACCAGTGCTATGCATTGTAAACTTTATCCTAGGCAAGGTAACATCCCTGTGTGCTGTACACAAATCATACACTCTTTGATTATGTGAACTGTTTGTGTGAATGTATGTAGGTCTTTCCTAATCAATGTTTGTGATCTGTGGAATTTACATCATGTTCTTCAAATACAGAAATGACCTCTTGGCTTATTCCCATCACTCTTTCTGTTTTTTAAAAGATGAAGATGCACTTTCTTGATTTGTAAAGGTTAATGTGCCTGGTTTGTTTCCCTGCCTTTGATTATATGAGAGTACAGATTTCTGGACTTTTGTGCCTTTCTTACTGTAATCTTTGTAATGGTAAAGAAAAGAGCACTGTCATCTGACAGAGTGCCCTGTCAGGCCTTAATAGGGGTACCTTGTCTCTTCTCATGGAGTAGGAGCTCTAATCAGCGTGCAAATACATCTGGTTCACTATATCCCCCAGGATACTGTTTTAATTATTATATGTCCCCCAGGAGTGTTCCTTTTGTAAAATTACATTAAAACAGTTTTATTAATCTCTTTGACAAGAATAGTGTCTACATTGAGAACTCCAGAAATCCCAAACAGCTTGGAGCAGCTGTATCAGTTATCCTGTCTAGCCAGCCTCCTTTAATGCGCTTGTCCTGGTAAGAGTTGTGATATGTTGGCTTATTTAAACTATCACTTACCATTTAGCCTTCCTGCACTGTGGCAGGGTTCTGTCAAAATAGTGATATGCAGCACAGCCATGCCTTCTAATCTTTGTGTTTTTGAAGTGTCCTTCAAATTACTTTTTAATTAGTGATACATTTCTGTTTTCTCCATGTAAAGTATATAGAATTAACATATCAGGTGGGTACTGTAGCTGTGTCAGCATGCGTAGGCTGCAAAGGAACAAGTAATAGGTTTATTCCATGCTGAAAAAAAGAAGAAGGCTGAAGAAGGCTCCACACCTGAAGAAGGCTCCACGGCTGAAACGTTGTGTTTTCTTTCTACAATTAATATATACAGTTAGTACAGATAACTGAGTTTGTTCCAACTCAGATGTTATTGTTGTCCTACGGTTTTAATGGTCTCCAACCTTGTTGATGCCGAGGGTCTGAGATCTTATACATTATACATTTTATTGCACCTGTACTAAACTGGCATTCATCCTGGTTCATGAACTAGAAAACATGCAGTTATCAGCACATGGAATAGATTGCTGGAGCAGGCTGAAGAGAAAGAGATGCTGGGAGCTGTAAAAGCTAGTCTTGATAATGTGTTGAAATCACACTTATTTACTGTATACCCCATTTACATTAGTAAGACAAGCCAAGCCAGGAATCTTCTTGAGTAGCTTTTAACTTTAAAGGTGAGTCAAACCATTGATGTCCTGTGTAATGAACAGTATGTATAAGACAGTAGGAAACATTAGATCAAGATGTTGATTCAGATTCAGATAGGTTTCAGGACTGGACCCTCATGGCTCAGTTTACCACAGTTCATTTTTGTGCTAGAAAACCACTCACATACTGTTCATGTGTGATGTTGTAAAAAGGGTGTCAGTGTATAAGAATAATGATGAGTGCTGAAGTGCTCAATGGCCTGTTCTTCTCATTGTCTTTTCTTACACTCCTGTATTTCTTTATTCGGTTCCCCCTTCATTAATGCTGTGTTGTTCTGGTTCTCCCTGTCCTCTGTCAGAGTAAAAGGAGATTTGAGAGGGACTGTAAAGAGGCAGACCGGGCACAGCAGTACTTTGAGAAAATGGACGCCGACATCAACGTGACAAAGGCAGATGTAGAAAAGGTGAGTCACTGACAGAGAGCTCTCGTCTGATGGTTAAGCAGTAGAGGAGTCGTATAATACTGCCTTACATTTTTTTTCACTCCTTTTTATTTACTTAAGGTTTAAAATTTGAAAGCATTTATTAATCTATTTTACTTCTAATTTCTGAAACCAAAGTAGTGATGTTATATGTGACAGTGCAGTAGAAATCTTAAAGCAGTGTTTTGTACTGGTACATGGGCACCGCCATCATATCAGAAACACAAAACTGTGGGGCTGGCAGTCTTACATAGTGAATGCTCTATTTGTACACACCACACAAAGTTAAAAGACTGCTGTTTATTTGCACACATTATGCTTAAAAATTTTGTTTAAGAGTCTGTTTAAGATAAATAATTTTAATAGCATCCAGCATTCCTCAAACAAAAAATCCATTTACTGGCTTGTGACTAGGGAAGTATAGTCAGTGTTTGCCTGTAGCACAAAGGAGTTTCTGTCACAGGACACAATCCCAGTGCTTTATGTTGACTGTCTCCAACTCTAGAATAATCAGGGTGAGACTGTTACTGTGATCTGCAATCTATTCTCTTTACCCTGTACAGTACATTGGGGTTTTGCTTAGAAATACTGATGCCTTTTACTGGCAGAAATCATTACAAGTCAGTACTAATCTGCCCTACACTTTGTCAGCATGTATTTACAGTAACAGTCGTGGAGTTCAGATATTTTGGACCTCTGACAGTCATCAGTTGGTAACAAAAATCTAATGGTATGGTAAATAGTATATGTTGTGTGTAGTCCTGTAATGAATTTGAGCGTTCAAACATTATCTTAAGAGACTTCATGATCACAGAATACAATTCAAAATCATGTAAATTTCACTTTCCCTTCTAGTGGTAGTGGATGTTCTAAAAATCTAGCAACTTTGAATGAGACCTTAACATCATCCTCCTCCTACTTATACGTGAAGAAGTTAGCAGTGGCCATTCATTATAGTGACTGTATACCACGATTTTCTGTTGTGTGCCAGCCTGCCAGATTTCCTGCCAGGATCTTGATGTCATTGTTAAGATAGGATAAGATACATTCCCTTGTTAAGATAGGATAAGATAAGATCATTTTATAGGCCATATACTGTACAACTTATTGTATAAGGAATTCATCTTTTCGCATGCCCCAACTTTCTATCGATGAGACACACAGCCAGGGAGAGAAGCTTAGGGTCAGCCGTTTATATGGCGCCCCTGGAGCAGTTGGGGTTAAGGGCCTTGCTCAGGGGCCAAACTGAGTAGGATTCCTCTGCCGGCCACGGGATACGAGCCAGTAGCCTTCTAGATACAGGCGCAGATCCTTAGCCACAGTGCCACCGCACTGCCGCCTAAGTCCGAGTGGAGATGCCGGAGAATGAACCCAGGACCTCACACATTGTTATTTACGGTCTGAAGATATCCTATATTGAAAAGCAATGAAAAGGAAGAAGTATTTGATTAAATGGAGAGAAGCTTCAACTTTTTGTCTGTTTATATCTCAGCTGAAAGGTAGGAAGATTTCCTTCTAATTATGCAGCGGGTACAAGACTCTTATCAGGTCAGCCAGTCCTAAGCACATTGGGAAAGATGTACCTTTTGAGAAGTGTGTGCAAGTAAATTGTCGTGCTTCTGTGATGTCCATGTTTTCAATCTGTGGCACAGTCTCAGTGTTCATACTCTCATATTTTCTGGTCATAATCTTGCATTGCATTATAGGATTGTTCGTGTGAGAGGCATTATTCATTTCTGCCTAATTGTATTCCTCCTTTTTCTTTTACAGTGGTGCTGTATACTATAGCTAAAATTAACCACAGACTCCTTTTAATGCAAGAATGCCAGTTATTTGGAGAAGTTATTTGGATAGTTGCAGCTTCTCTTCATCTTTCACAGATTGTTCTTAATGCCTCGTTTGAATGCAGAACAGCTATCTTTAACATAGCTACCTTTGTGTCTCACATATGATAAAAATCCCCTAAGGCTAAATAAACAAATCTGGTGTAAACCTGGAAGTGAAATTCAATGCAAATTTGCAGCCTGTTCAAAGTGTTCTCTGGCGTTGGATTAAAAATAGCATTCAGGTGGAGAAGTGAACTGTGGAGAGAGCAGTGCACAGGTATTCTAATACCGATCGCAGAGGTGTGCGGTGTTCTGTCGTATCTTTTGAATTAAGGCATCTTCTTGTTTCTTGAAATTAAAAACCTATTTAACCACATACATTAAGATTATCTAAGTGTAGTCTTTTGTCTTTACTATATTAAAACATTCCTGGTTTGTGGTGACCTGAGTTTTGCTCAATTTTGTTGTCTGTTTTTAGTCCCTTAGAACTTTAGATGGTAGAAATATGAAATTATCCCCTTGCTTCCTTCAAAAAAGAATCATTACAATGCTCTGAGAGTCGGGCAATCCCTTGTAAGATCCCATGGAATAACCAGTTTTTATGGGTAGATGATGTTTCTTTTTAAATGACTAATTTCCAATGATTGGATGCTTTCAAATTTCTCTTTAATTCTGTTGGAAGGGAAAAACAAATTGTGAAGGATTCGAATGTGAAATCGACTCTTGTAGTTCATTGACTTACATGTAGTTACACCCTAGAAAAATAACATACATGAAAGAATCCAAAATGTATTATTTGATTAGGTCCTCTTTTGTGAAGCACATTTAAATATAAATAAATTGTGGCATTGCTTTAAAGGCATGTGGTTCTTTCCAATCACACATTCTTGTTCGGGACACAGGAGAAGTTTATTTTCAGCCTTGTATCACAGAGGGAAAGCACACAGGGCTTAAAGGTCCACTTACAACAGGGTTATCGTAGCACATGGAGTGTGCAATAACATTTAGGGATCACTTGGGGCAAGGGTTGATAAACACATGGCTGACTGTCCTCATCCTCGAAGCTCATGAATAACAGTCTTTCTATAGTCACCCCCTCCCAAACTCCCCTTGTCCTGCAGCCCAGTGCCATGTGACTCAAGTGATAGCTACACATCTTCAGACTACAGAATAGAAGTCTTGTTCTGTGGATATAAAAATTGATGGCTGCTTTTATATCTGAAAGCCCCTTGCCTTAATAAATAGGCCTTCAAGAGAACATAATTCCCTGTGTGCTCAACATGCCATGTGGAAGTATTGTTCATAAAGGATTTTCCTTTTTTTAAAATGGGGGAGTCTAAAGTCAGCCTGCCACTCAGGCACTAAAGCCTTTTTACCCTGTCATATGTCTTCTGTAATTACACAGCTTTATGTTTTCTGCCTTTTAAGTGATTTCCATTATTGTGGGTTTTGCAGTGGCTCAATTCAGACATAGTGAAGCACTTCAGAAACACATGCATAAGGTACAGCTCATAGGAAAGCCTGAAAATTCAGCAAGAGTCAAGTTGCACTGATGTTCTTCAGACACACAGCAGACTTTGGTTTGGTTGATCTTGACTTTGTGCAGGCCAAATGTTTAAAATTTTTGACAGACTGAACATCTGTGTGCCAGAGTGAAGACATTGCTGTCACAAATTGGATTTTAAAGTACAGCAATTTCCCCACCATTTACCTCTTTATGTAAGGTCAGAAGGGGCAATGAAAAAGGCCACCGTTGGTATGATTGTGATATTGTGGATAAGAAAGTCTCCATTATGAAAAGAGATCTTTATTTATAGTGTACAACTGGAGCTACAGTATATACAGCATGTTAGTTCTTGTCATGGGAGTAGAATCATACATTTTTGGCAGTTTTGCAAAGCTTTTTTTGTTTGGCACATTAGAGGCCTAATGTCACACGTGTTATTTTTTCAAGATGTGTAGTGTGTTTGGATGTCAATTTCTTTTATTTTATTTGTGCTTTACGTGTGTTATTTTTTCCTGATGCTACAGTACATACAGAGTAAATTTTCTCTTGAGACAACAAACCTTAGATTTAAGTAGATCTTTTCCTGTTGTTGTCAGTTTCAAGAGAGGTTTATACTAAAATCCATTGTTTTATTTAAATATTAGTCTGCATTGCATTAAACCACAATGTAGAACTGTAGCTTTTACTTTATAATTGTATTTTAAATTTATAGGGAAGTCATAGTCCCATACCTACAAATTAAAGTACACTAATGGAGGTTTGTTTCCAATTAGATCCAATTAGATTAGTTTCCAAAATAGATCTTCAAAAAATCTAATTTCCCATATTTATAAAATGCAACATTTTTGATGCAGATATTTAATAATCCAGTCTAACCAAACATATTAAAACTAATCATTCCCCCTTTTCATTTTATTTAAATAATTAATAATATTGGTTGATAACTAAAGTTTTTTGAGGGGTTCCTGAAGCAAATTAAATAATGGAAATAGAATGTCAGATTTGTTGTCTTATAATAAAATATATTAAAATAAAACTTTTAAAGCAGTGTATGTAGGGAAAGTTGCCTTTGTTTAGCTGGGCTGTAGAATAAGGTCTTTATTTATGTTTTAGAGCTTTCTTTCACTCTCCAGCTGTTGAAAGGAAAAATAAAGTGTAAATGTCTGTTCTGGGAATTCAGGGATCGGCAATGGCTTTATGAAGAAAACAGTTCCTTTTCAGCAGGTGTTTTCACAGATGAAACATCACTAAAGTGGGTAAAACATTATCCTGACCTTTGAGTGGATATTTATCATCTTCTGTCTGTCCTGCAAAATGAATCAGAATTAGCTTTTATTGAAGTTAAAAGTCTTGGATCTGGTTGACTTGATTTGATTTACTCCAGCTGCCTCTCCAACAAATATTTATTCTGAACTAAAACAAAAAAGACATTCAATAGCTGAATATGAAGAACCATTTTTTATAAAAACATATCAGAACCAAATAATGTAATGTACTGTACCTGTATGCCCATAATTAAAGTTTGTAATTGTGAACTAGCAGAAGATATTCCATTGAAATTTGCAAACGAGATTTGAATAATCTATAAATAAGTCATGATGAACTAATGCTTTAGATCTAGTGATGTACTGGCTAAGAAATTTGTTGGAAGAAACAAGCAATCAGAAGAATGCGCCGAGATAAGTAGTTGAGCCCCCCAGAATCTTTTGAGGATGTTTTATTTTATTTAAGCAAACAGTGTGTTTCTCAGGGCTTACTCAGAGAATCCAGAAGCCTGCCTTTGTAAGTGCAGATTAAGTTCACTGAATTCTCAAAAAGGCATCCATTGTGGGGTGGAGATGACTCTAAGCTGAATTTAAGATGCATCCCTCATTACTCATGCAGTTGGTACAAATTAAATTGTCTGGATAAGGGATTTTTCAATGTGCACATTCTCTGCGTCTGTGCTTTCAGAAGAAATTCTCTTTACTGTCAATATAGTTCTTAGCCTTGGCTGGTGTGGGTGAGAGACATGCTTCTTTGCTGCCTTTGAAATTTTGATTGAGTTATGCCAGAAATGTATTAGTAATACATACAGATACAGTACAGCTTTTCAGATGGGGTCTAAATTACTGCAAACAAATCAACACTTTTCTTTTCCTGACCTTTGTACCCAATCCATAAATGTCCTGTTCTTTTTTTCCAACAAAATTAAGTACAACATTTTTAAGTCAATGCTGTTTAAATCATATTTCATAATCTATTTATGGAAAAGATAGGTAAGCTTACGGAGGGCTTTTATGATTTTACAACTGAACAACTTTGTATTTTTTAGTTAAAACAGTTAAAATAATTTGAAAGGAGTAACAACTGTTTTTGCTCATTGTCTTCCTTCTGGCTTTTGAATCTTACATTGGAATATAAAAATTGAGCTATATACTGTATAGTTCTTTAAAAAAAAACACTATGGTAAAGCTATGCATGCAGCATCTTTTTGTTCACTGTTATGGCTCCCTTATGATAAAGAATGTCAGAAGGCAAATGTGCAAAAGGATATGACTGTGAATTTCAAAAGAAACAAGTCAGACATCAGGGTTAGAGAGAAAGTTTGAATATTAGACAAACTCATTATCAGTAAGCTGTCTTTGCTTAATTCTTTGTCATTGGTTTCAGTACAGTGTTTAAGGTTTCAGATCGTCAATGCACATTATCACATTCTTATAGTACAGTTTAGTCTGCCTGCTCTTTTAATCTACCGTCTGTGAACGATAAACTGAAACCAGACATGGTTACTGAATATTTACATTCGTAGCTCTTGTGCTTCAGCTGAGGGCAGTGTATTTATTATTACCATGCCGAAGAGAACTTAACAGTGTTGAAATTTGTATATCTATAAAGAGGATTTTACAGAACATTTTATCTTCATACAGTACGCCTTACTTTGAGAGCACAGTGTTCATAGACAATTTTCCTTTTATGTGTTTCTATCAATAACCTTTTTTGCCCATTCATGTGATGAATGAGAAAAACTAACCATTGCAGTTCTTTTAATCACTATTTTGTTACCCTGCCTAAAGGGTATTCATAGTTTATCCTTTTCTTAATGTTTATCCTTTTCTGTTGTTGCTTTCACTACACACTACCCTAAAGCTAACTTAATTATTTTTGTTTTCTAACATGTCTTGAAGCGATGTTCCCACAAGGTAGGTTAATTATGCGTCTTTCGTGTTTGTGGGGACCTGTATACATGTTAAACATATACCTATAGTCACAAGCTAATTAGGCAGAAGAATTCCAGAAAATCTTTAATAGAAACCGATTGATTCTAAAAGTAATGTATTAATCACACCTAGTTAAAATAAACTTACACAGCTCCTCCCATGTTTTATGTCTTATTGTGTCTTATTTGCTCAATCTTATGGCATGTAGTGAAATGATGTATGTACTTTCTGTTTTTTGTGTTTGTCATTTTTTGTCACTCCATACATCTTTTCCAGGGGAACTTCTCAAGAGTGTTACTGAATCTCATTTGCAGGAAGTGTCCAGGGGACATAAATCAGAAGTGCAGTGGTTCTTGCCTGATAAGCAGTGCACCACTGATATACTTCCTTGTGTTATTTCCTGTCATTGGGTTTTGAAAACATTTAACTTAGTTTACACTTCTGGAATTATGTTGGGGTGGCAAAATACCATCTAGCTAGAAACGACAACAAAAACACAACGAGTAGTACTTTAGTTAATATTAGTGTTATTGACTTCTAGAGTACTAATGGCACAAAGTATCTTTTGGAGTTTCTGAAGCCATATTAAAACTATTCAAATTATTTCCCTGTTCTGTTTAAGCATTCAGAAGATGTAAAATGATGTACTAAATGAAGAGAGACTCCATTTTACAAAACTGGGAAAATGCATTCCAGTACTTTTTCATTGTAAAGTAAGCATTAACATTAATAGTTTATTGAAAAATAAAGCTTAATTGAGGTATGCTTGGAAACATTGAATGTAAAGTACAGTATATTATGTCTTTCTTGAGATGTGTTTCCTGAATTATATGGCCTTTGTGTATTGCAACCAGGCCTGTTAACAGTACTTCGGTTTTTAAACACTATAGATTGATTCAATAGGTAGCAGTGGCTCAGTTTTGAACATCTAATGTTCATAACTAGGAAATACATAGTTTTACATCTGATGACTTTGTGTGTAGTGGGTGTCTGTCTTTATTCTTAACTGTTCTTGTATGCTTGTGCATGCGAAGTGAAATCTCACTGGAACATTTTGTATGACCGTTGCACATCTTACCTGGTGCTGCTGGGAGTAGTCTTCTATAGTGTTTGTCTTTTTTCATCCATGTTTGTTATTTTCATCACTCTATAATTGTGATCTGAGCACTCATTCGTGTGTGTCTGCTGCCCATCGCAACATGTGCCAGGAGATTCATATAAGAAGCTGAGATAAAATGTTTGTCACGGAGTGTTTCAGTTGAGTGTTGGGCATAATCAAGAAATAACATTTTCAAGTAATGGAAATTGCTTCATCAGTCCTTTTGCTCTGATTCTTATCTAACTTTTGCAGTTTAAAAGGTAGTTAGCTAATAATCCAAACCTTTATATAGTGGGAAAATTTATTTGTGTGTAGATAACAGCTTTTCTCTGAAAGGCATAGAATAATCTGCATTTGCAATATTTTAATGACATATCTGACACCACGCAAAGGGTTCTGGATAAGAAGGTCACAGATCTTAAGGCATCTTTGTGGTAATGAGATACAGTCCTGGGCAGAATCATGCCAATGACAATATCGTCTTTCAAAGGACATCTGCTAAAATGTTAGCTGTGTCAATAAAAAAACGTTTAAAGTATGTTTCCAGTGGCAGTAGTCAGGTTTTCCTGACATACAAGATAGAAGTATTTAAAAAAACAATGGCAGAAATGAAAGTTGACCTGTGCTTGCAAGCAAAAGTTTTCAGTCTTTAAATTCTCACATGAGATATTATGAATCTTCAATCCTTTCTAGAAATAGTGTTGTCTTGGTATTCTCAAAACAGTATATTTTGGGGTTGTAACCTGGAAGTAATCTAAAGTAATCAGATACTTCAGATTCTCCTCTGTGGCTTTTTTCAGTGATAGATGGTACAATACCATCCCTATGGCCTTAATTAATAACACAACATTCATATTAAAGAGATGTATCACAAGCATACATATTCAGTAAAACAAATCTTTAGGCATTTACAAACTGTGACATGCTATCCTTATCTCATTTTTTTCCTTTGGATCTACCAGAAATTCCAAGTCTGTTTAGGAGGTATTCTAAAAATTAACATTAAAGTGATATCTCATGTTAAAATGTCTTCACTATATTTCAAGCACTAACAACTATGGGAATAGTGCACAACCGTATATGTGCTTTCCAGAAACATTACTATTATCAAAAGCAATGACTTTATTCGGCGCTCAGATGAGATATAGCCCCATTATCAGAAGGGAAATGTGGGATTTACTGTGTTCTTAGTCCACCCTTTTGTTCCCTTCAAAGCTGAGCTTGATTGCTATCATGCCTTATAATGCTTTGCTTGGCACCACTATTGTCCATCTCTTTGCATAATCATGTAGTGTGCAAGCTCAATTACTAAGAGTGCTGCCTAACAAAGTTATTCTGCTGGCAAATCCCTTACACATCTGCTCAGTTTTATCTCCCTCCAGAGGTTAATGAACCAGTGCGCTGTTAAGTTCAATTGCTTTTAACTCGATGCCAGAAATCCTTGATTGTCCTCTGCAAGGTAGGCATGTGCAATGCGCAACAACCATACATGGTACTGCAGTGTATGCAAGCATTTATATGTAATAAGGTTTTAATTAGCCTGAACACACATAAATGTCTGTTTTTAATTCATATATAAGTGTACTGTTGTAGAAATGTTAGAAGGTAAAGAACAAAGACTGAGATAATAAATAAACTGTGGTGTTGTGATGCAGAAAATGTTACACCCTCCTTCTTCATAATTGGGCATTATGCAGAATGGAAAAGAGCATCATGGCATACTATTATTTTGTCCTCTTTATATATTCAAAGTGCATTTTCAATTGGATTTAGACTTCAACAGCAATAGACCTTCCTGACTCACCGCCACTCAGTGGGATAAGAAAAAAGCAGTTGCTGGGCAGTTCTGTAAATGCACCTCTCTTGGCTCCGTCTCTGCTCAGTCCTGCCAACTGTTCTGTCTGCTGGAGAAATCACAGATAGTCTGTCTGAAAAACAAAATTGAAAAGAGCAGACTCCAGTCTTGAATTTAATCCTGACAGGGTTGGAAGACAAGGAGAGTCAGAGAGTGGATCAGTTGTTGACAATGGAGACCAGCTTCACTAGATTAATATAAAGTTTATCTCCTGGTACTTTGCATCGTTACTCTGTTTCTTTGCATAAATTGCCTGCTTTTTTCATTATTTCATGATTTCCATGACTGTTACAGTGAGCTAAAGGAATGCAGCTTTCATTGTTTGCATGTGGCCACACTAATAATTGCCATAGTCAACGTAATTGTGCACAGAGAGCTGTGAGCAGGTAAGGTCAGATGGTTGCAGAAGAAGGACTACCATATGAATACACTGTTACCCTCAGTGCGAGCTCATTAATGATGTAGTAGGTACTGTGATTGTGCACCAAGCAGTATACAGTGAGCAAATAATAGTAATTACTTGATTGAAAGTCTGTTTCTCATGCTAACCAGAACGGTCAATACTGAGCATAACACAATGTCAGTAACAAGCATCAGGCTCAGTGAATGGATAGAAAAATGTGACAGTGCAGTAAAAATATCTCTAGCATATAAGAATTGTAAATAATCATTACATGAATAAGTTCTCTGAATTGATCATTTCAACAATTCTGCTTTGTTACTTAGAGACAATGGAAAATCATGAATAATTCCTTATGCAATATAACACTTTTCATCCCAAAGGATCCCAAAGTGCTTAACACATCAGAGGAACCCTCTTAATCCAGTACAGACGTGCAGCACAAACCTGGGTCATGCATGCAGCCCCACTGCACACTTGATGAGGCAGAGATGGGAGAAATTACGTCTCAATTGGAATAAAGGGTGACTTTTATATCAGCCAGATTGTGCAAGATGAAGGGGAATTCAACCAAGGCCCTGCAGATAATACTTAAAATACAAACGCAGATGTCATGAGATCTTTAATTACCCCATTATGAAGAGTCTAAAAATAATAGTAATAAGATCCTTACCTGCAAACTTTTTTTTCCATTTTTCAACAAGTGAATTATTTAGATATAACAGTCTTTATACAGTTTATCCGGTACCTCATCCCAGAGGTACAATCGATAATAGGTGAGTATATTGTAAAAAGAGTGGACGAGAGGAGTCATCTAAGATTGTATGTGGAACATTAATAATATGTCGCTCTGTTAGACATATTATTGAGTCCAAGGAGGCACTGGTAATCTTGTCACCAGTCCTGATCACATTGTTCAACTTGTTTTTATTCTGCAAGGACAGTGCACCACCCAGATCTAAATACAAAAAGGTTAAATAAAATAAAATTCTTATATAAACATTTTACTTTCTACATTAAAACTTCCTTAAAAATTACAACCTTTGCAGCGCCTTAAAATACCTTGCTCCCATATTGTAAGTCCAAGTCCATTTACAATCGGTAGTAGTGCCAAGGTTAATTAATTAATATTCAATTACTATTTTAATATCAGTTCCAGTAAGAGGTACAGGCATCATAGAAATAGAATATTTCTTTCGAAAATGAATTCCTTTATTTTGTTTTGTGTTTAAAAACGGTGAATTATCCTGACACCAGTTACAATTTTTTATCACCTGTCTGTAATTGTTTTCATCATCTTTTAAATGTCCAAAGTAAAATCATTCACAGATTGAATAATCAAGCAGTTGTCTAGTGGCTTATGCAATTATTAGTGTATAATGTGAAAAGCAGTGGGGACAGCACACAGCCTTTGGGTGAAAGTTCCCTAAGCTCCCTCACACATACTGTACTGTACTGTTGCCAATCAGTAAGAAAATTGTACTGTACTGTATATCCACTGAGGAAGTGTTCGATTTACTCCCATGTATTGTACAAAATGAAATATAAAAAGTACCGTAGCTCTTAATGAGACAAAGGTATAACCAAAGTCAAGAATAACCAAAGTCAGGTAGCCCTTGGAATCATTAGAAAATCATTAAAAATGAAAAAGACACTGACCCGTATTTCCCCTTTTGTTTACCTTGGTAAGCAGGGTAGCTAACAATGGCAAGATGTAGAAAACTCTCTGGTTACCAGGTGATGGGATCTCTCTTCTCCCTTCAGAAATTACTATAACAAGCGCTTGGATGCAAATTCCTTGATGAAGATACGGGAGGCTTGGTGCACATGATGCTTATGCATTATTAATTCTGCAGCGCCTCACATCGACACGTGTCTGTGCATGCTTAGCACGCCCCCAGCCGCCCTGCACAACTCTCAGTGGAGATATTAACATGGAAAAAGATATCCGCTTTAGCGAGGACCTTGACCAAGGTGGGAAGGCAGCTGTATAATGTTCAAGGTGACACTGTTGCAGGGGTTACTAAATGTACACCCCCAGCCCAGCTTTATCATTGCTCATAGAAAAAAACAGAGGGGGCCAGTTAACACTGATCTGGCTGCAACGCATTTCGCTGAGACAGATGCAAATGCAGAACTGCCTCTTTCATTCTGCTGAGCTTGACTTTCAAATTTGACACTTAATCTGGCTGACCATAAAATAATATGGCTGTGGCTGCATTTTTTCAGTGCATATGTAAAATATTATGTTGACTGAAGTCTGAACATCCCTAAGAGGTAGAGACTTATTGGTAACTTCAAGTGCAAACTAAGACACAGTAACCCTCAATCAAAACATGTCTTGTCAGTCTGTTGAAAGAAAGAAGTACTCAGGATGATGTTCTGATGCATATATAAGGGTCAGTTCTTCTTTATCGGTATCATACCTCTTCTTTGTCAATAAGATTTTATATAAATTGTAGCTATTAAAATGAAATTTCATAAAAATAGTCAAAGGACTACATATAAATATATGAATAGTAAGTCCTAACAGCTTCATCTGTCATTAATTAAATATTGTCCCTTGGCCTAAATTGACGTACTGTAGGAAGACGAGTAAGACAGGTACCTTATGTATAGCACGCCAGAGTAAATGAATTCTGTTGAAATTATGCCCAAATGAAAACTGGAGTCAGGGAACTAAGTAACAGATAAGAACAAATGCTCTCCTTTCCAGTACAGTGCAGGTTGCCACTCTACAGCTGGTGGCAATCTGCCTTTCCGCTATGACAAACAACTTTAGAAATGGGTTTGCCATAGTGCCACGGACTTGTATCTAGGACTTAAACTATTTCAACTGTCTTACGTGGAACTTGGTATGGTTACAGCGTGATTGCTGAGGGGGAATAAAATGCTCTCCATGTGTCTGGCATATTTCACTGTCTTCCTGTTATGAACTCAACATGGAGCCCTTTGGGAATCTAGAGATTCGAAGAAACGTGGCTGACAACAAATCAGCCCACCTCAGTTCTCAATGGGAGACATTGCACAGCCACTGAGGAAGCCAGCTAAGGGTCATTGATCCACATTAATCCACAGCATAAATATCTCTTAAAATATCCAGAGAATTAGAAAACGGCAATGGTGCTTCTGAAGTAACCGTCTCCAGCCAATTTGATTGGCTCACCCTGTGTAAGAGGAGAAGCCTGCCTTTGATGTTGTTCTCGTTAATAGCTCAGGCAGGCAAAGGCAATGGAGATGTGGGGCCAGTAGTGAATGGATGAGAGACAGATGATGCCGTACTCACTGAGGAATTGGAAGCATGAAGGAAGGCATGAAGCCAGACAAGTTTCTCTGCAGTGCAAGAGCTGAGACCCTCAGCAACGGTTTGCTGAGGTAAAAGAGGGAGATTCCAGATTGTCAATGAAGAGCGCTAAGAACGCATTTAAGAATGTAGAGATAGGTTTCAACATCTTGCATTTAGTCTTTGCTCATTTTTTGTCTCAGCCTTCTCTTTCATGAAACTATACATGCTTACAGACTAAAGTACAAGCATAATTGTCTAGCAGATAAAAGCAAACCTGCAAACCTGAATGAACAAAAGTATTTTATGTCTTTAAAACTTAATGTGTTTTTTGTGCTCTACTTCCAAAGGAAAACAACCCCTGCAGTCCAACGCAGGTGAACATGTTCTGCAAAACTGTGGCGCTAAAATGAAATATAATAGTCATGATTTCAAAAACAAAGTAGAAGTAGCAGTTGCAGCAGAACATCAAAGCAAATGCATTTTCAAGGTTTTGGGTTATATCTGACATTTAGACCACTTTAGAAATTATATTTACCTGAATCACAAGGTCCACAGAAAGCAACTATTTTTTGTCATCACCAGAACAGGGTGTACTATACATTTTTTAATTTCATTTCATGAAGGCAATTAAAACTGAGTCATGTCTTATAAAATACCAACTGAAGTCAGGGGGATTCGCTTAAAAAATATGATGCACCTGTGATTGATAATAACTCTTTTGGAGTGCTAGCAGTTGATTTCACTCAGTTGTTGCTAAGATCAACAAAACAGTGTAAGATGCTTACTCTGGACTCTGAATTTATTAAAACCTCTACTTCTATGGAGAACACCCGTGTTGTCCTGTTTCCAAAAATTCCCTTGGTGAAAAACAAATATTATTAATTCAACATTGGACACTATGAAAAAAATTCCCCTGAGCTATCCTCAGGTAAAGTAAAGCTGAGCTTTACTTCAGTTAACTTGATTCTTTATATTTTGAATTTATATTACAGATAAAGACCTCGTTGATTAATTTGGTTGAAAAGTGCTTGGAGGCTGCATATTATAAACTGTGAAAAAATAATAGTACATTATTAGGTAGAATACTACAACATAACATAAAATAATGCAAAAGTTATACTGGAAAGGAAAGCAAAGATTCAATATAGGCAATGTTGCGTTCTGCAGTACTAAATAAAAGAGTTTTTAAGTTGCAAGGCAGAAGGAGTTATATCGCCAGATGTAGTCTGAAGAGGTGATTTAATTATAACACATTTGATGAAGGGAGGCTTGGAAATCTTTGAACTTCTTCACCTTACACAAAGAACTGTGAAGCCAGGTATTAGAGTTTTAGTCCAGGGGATGGTTTTACTTCTATGTATGCTTCTTATGAAGACATTTAAACAACGTCAGCTGTGATAGCAAAGTTCACAACATGATTGCTTTAAGCTGTTGATCCTTGTGTTATTATTTCAATGCAAGCATGTATTCCATTCCTTTGAGATTGGGACTACTCTAAAATAGTTTTTAAGATCTTTTTTGATGCTTGGCATGAGCCCAACCCAAAATCTGTTTCTGATCTGCATTTAATCTCTGATTTTCAACCATGGGCATGTTCTACAACCAGTGATGCAATGTTTAGTGGTAGCAAAGTAAGTTAAGGAAAGCATTTTGGTGGATCATAGCAATACAGTAGAGTGTCGTTGTCATAGTGAAGTAATTTAGGTTCCAGCATCTTCTGCAAGAAAGATTACAAGCAACAGTTCCTCCTGCATAGCCACAGGCAAGCTGGGACTTGGGATGGTAGGTCAGTTGAGAGTGCAGGTTACTGTTTTGATCATCCAGCAGTCTCAAAACTTGGGCAAGAGTGATTGGACTTCCATTTCCTTGCTTGTGTGTCCTATTTTTGTTAGCCCTCATATCAAAAGCACTGACTGAGGAATGCTTACGCCTGGAAGGAAGAGTATCCTTCACAATGGCTGCCCATCTTATCTTCTAGTCCAGCTCCCATGTCTATGTGATGTTTTAGAGTTTAAATGCAATCCGCAATGTGTTACTGGAAACCTGGCGTGCTGTCCCCTGTGGTGTTGGTGAATCCGCTTTGCTTGTCTTTGCAGGCTCGGCAGCAGGCCCAGCTACGACACCAGATGGCAGCTGACAGTAAGGGAGAATATTCAGTGTATCTGCAGAAATTCAACAAGGAGCAGAATGAGCATTACTACACCCTCATCCCACATATTTTCCAGGTAAGCTGACCCCCATTTACCTTATAGCGAGCAGCTGTATTACCCTGCAACTCACAACTAGCAACTGACTAAAGTTCAGCAGGTGTGAGCATGGGCAGTACATTGATAGGAGACCTCTTTGGAAAGCTAAGGTTGCTGCTGTAAGAGCTGTTAGTGTGACCAGTAGGGGGCGGTCACCCTGCGTTCTCTGTGGGTCCTAATGTTTCATTACAGTGATGGGGACATTATACGTAAGGCACTCTGCTTTGGATGAGACTTAAAACTGAGGTCCTGACTCTCTGTCATTAAAAATCCCAGGGCATTTCTCAAGAACAGCAGGGTTGTTTACCTGGTGTCCAAGCCAATTCCCCAGGCCGTGGCCTCCTAATAATCCGCATCTACTGTATAAATTGGCTTCATTATCCTGTTCTCCTTCCCACTGATACCTGAAATGTGGTCAGGGTGTCGCATCATCCAGGTGGGTGCTGCACATTACCTGTAAAGCACATTGACTAGAGTGTCCAAAAAGCACGATATGAGTTTAAGGAGTTTATTTATTTTGTTTATTTACAATTTGTCAGTGAAAGTGGCTTGACAGTTGTGTTGGACTCACAAACAGATTAACTGTTTTGTTCAGAGAAACGTCAAAGTGCAGAAGAAAGATATTGGGTTCACATGTAAAAGCCATTTACAGCCTTCACTATCCTAGCCTGTGTTTTGAGAAATAAATAATAAATGTCTTAAACACATAGATCTTAGGAAACAAATATTTGAATTATTCTGACCAAGAATGGAAGTAGCAATCAAACCATACAACCACTTCAAATCCTGCACATGGACTGGGACTATAGAATTAAGTGCTGGATTGATAGTAAGAGGAATGTCTTTCCACAGAGTGTCACTCCATCACTGACTGACAGCTAGTGATCAGGATCTGAATGATGCAAGTAAACCAAATGTGCTCTTCTCGCTTCGTGGTCTATTTTATACTTCTATATCATTTCTGAAAAAAATTAAGTATAGTTCAGAGTCACAGACAAGGAAGGAACAATTGGGTTTAATGAGAAATCCATGTTTATTAATTCCTGCCAGATGAATACTTAAACTGCTATAACTTATATCAGTTTGCTTTTATTGGGCATAACTCACCATATCAAAGTGTGACACAACAATCAAATCAAATTAAGTATCTGACTGAGTAAATAGTCATTATTTTTTTTTATATTTACAGTTTTGTCTGATTAGTGTGTGATCATCACGTTTTCCTTTAATCTTCTTGTCATTTATTTGGGTTAGGATTGAACAGCTATGAAAAATGACTCCTTTCTGGAACTCTTGCAGAAAATCCAGGAAATGGAGGAGAAGCGGATAGAGAGAGTAGGAGAATCGATGAAGACCTTTGCAGAGGTTGACCGTCAAGTGCTGCCCATCGTGGGCAAATGTCTAGATGGCATGACTAAGGCAGCAGAGTCCATTGAGCCAAAAACTGTAAGTACAGTTAACATTAATCTTACCGTAGAGATGAGTATTTGAAGAATTATCCATCATAGCTTAAACCATGATCAGCAAAGTTAGTCACTGGTGTCTCTGTCTGTGTGGGCATGAACATGTTCTGCTCATGTTTGGTGGTGTTCCACTTTATCTCCATGTCCCAAAGACAAGCAGGCTAATTTCATTCAGCAATCCAGAGCTGTCTCTTTCTCCGTGGCCCTGCAATGGACTGGTGTCCTATCCAGAGGGAAGAGGGAATCAGCCTCATCCTACACCTCTCATTCCAGGAATGTCCTAAAGCTTATCAATGAGCTTTACTAGGATAAGAGTCTTACTGCTAATGGATACACCTACAGTACACCTACAAAAACATTTTTTTGTTCCTGAATTGATTTGAGATTTGTATAAAATAAATAGTATCTTAAAGCAGGGGTTTCCAACTCCAGTCTTGGAGAGCCTCAGTCCTGCAGGTTTTATAGGTAACCATTTATCCTGAAGTGTTTGAAAACAAATTATTTGTGATGAAATAAACGGGTGATGTGACCAAGTTAGAGCAAGATCTAGGCCGAGAATCTGTATACCCTCAACCCTTGAGAACTGGAGTTCACTCTGATATTTAAGTATTCCTAACCTTCAGAAGCAGTTAACTAAGAGGATAAAGGCTCCTCAAGGGTGATGATTTGGGACTTCTGTGTTATGTAAATAATGCATTGATTTTACTAGGTTAACCAAAACCCTTATGACATTGCAAAAGCCATGAACAATAAGCAAAAATCAAACACATATTTTTTTTTAAAAGTGCATATGATAATCACCATGTGGAAGCTGTCAATGTGTTGATATTCACTGGTGGTTTAGAAATAAGCGCTGTAGAGGAAGTGTGAAGCTCTTACCGTTTGGCTTCACAGCAAGAGCTTATCTGTGAAACTGTTGAGGTATATTTTTGGACTAAAAACAAGTATGAAGAGTCCTCATTTGAAACCAGAAGCATAACATTATGACAAGATACTGTAATTCCTATTAACATCTAAGTAATTTGAAATATTTAATTGACATACAGTTCCTAAAAAAGTGTTTACACCCTTCCAGTGATGTCACATTATGTTGAATCATAAACTGAGCAAAACACTTCTGTGGGTGAAAGAATTTAGTTCAGGTACACAAAATTACTTTGAAAGGTCATGCAGTTAAATGGCCTTGGTGTGCAATAATTCAATTTCAGAAAAAAAATAATTTGTAACTATTGGTACCTCATATCGTAAATTAGTTTACAATTTAATGTCAGCTACCATTTACATACCATTCAATAAATGTACATGTGCAGCCCAGCTGACCACAGTGTTTACGGACATCTTTAACTCCTCCCTGTCACAGTCCATGGTCCCGACCTGCTTTAAAAAAAACACTATTGTTCCAACCCCCAAAAAGACAAAAGTGACATGCCTGAATGATTACCGCCCAGTAGCATTAACATCTGTGGTGATGAAATGCCTGGAGTAGCTGGTGTTGTCACACATCAACTCCTCCATCACAGAGTCCCTGGCCCCCTTGCAGTTCGCCTACCAGAATAACAGATCAGTGGATGATGCTGTCTCCCTGGCTCTGCATACAGCCTTGGAACACCTGGACACTAAGAACTCGTATGTGAGAATGCTGTTTGTGGACTACAGTTCAGCATTCAATTCCATCATACCCAGTCAACTGGTGACAAAGCTCAGGGGATTAGGTCTGTGCAACTCTGTCTGCAACTGGCTGCTGGACTTTCTTATCGAGAGACCACAGGTGGTGTGGATAGGCAATAAAACATCAACACCACTCACCCTGAGCACTGGAACCCCACAAGGCTGCTGTCTGAGTCCAAGGTTGTACTCCCTATTCACTCACGACTGCACAGCAAGACACAGCAACAACCGCATCATTAAGTTTGCAGATGACATCAATAGGACTGATCAGTGATGATGATGAGTCCACTTACAGGGATGAAGTTGTACAGCTGCTTAGGTGGTGTCATAGCAATAACCTGGACTTGAACATAAAGAAAACGAAAGAGCTAATAGTGGACTTTCGGATGACACAGGCCATACACTCACAGCCCACTCAGTATTGATGGAACGGAAGTGGAAACTGTCACCAGCTTTAGGTTTTTGGGAATTCACATCTCTAAAGATCTAACCTGGACTGTGAACACTGACTCTATCATGAAGAAAGCTCAGCAGCGCCTTTATTTCTTGAGGTGCCTCAAGCGATGGGGGATGCCAATACATGTGTTGGTGAACTTCTACCGCTGCACCATCGAGAGCGTCCTCACCAACGGGATCACCGTGTGGTATGGCAACACCTCTTCGCGAGAAAGAAAGGCACTGCAGAGAATGGTCAATAAGGCCCAGAAGATCATCGGCTGCGGTCTCACCGAGATTAAACAGCTCTATGAGGACCGCTGCCGTGGTAGAATTCTGGCCATCACAGATGACAGTCACCAGCCTGGGCATGAGTTCTTCACCCCACTGCCCTCAGGCAAGAGATATAAGAGCATACGGACCACTTACCACTAGATTCTTCAATAGCTTCTATCCACAAGCAGTGAGACTGGCGAACACATTTAGCCATCCCCCTCGGACCACACCTACACCATCACCATCTACCTCTTTATGATTTGTTATCTATTGCACATCTCCAGTCATTGTTTACATGTCTGTATTGTTTACATTCAAACTGTCTACATGTTTACTTGCACATTGTCTATTGTCTGTTTGTACGTTGTCTTGATGCACTGTTTGCACTTTGTTTTGTTTTTTACACTTGTTTTACAATCGAGGGACTTCTGTAAGTAAGAATTCCATTGTACCAGTACCGGTTACATATTGTATGGCAATAAAGTTCAAGTTCAAGTTCTTTACAGACAAAAATACGGCTGTAACAGACACTATAATTATTCTATAAGGTTCCTTAACCTGTATCAGTTTACTGCTACTTCTGTTTTAATTGAACTGAATTCTGAACTGATTTCATCCTTGACATTACAATAGAAGTATATTTTTTACAACTGTAAGAGATTCATGTTGGATTCCTGATGTTGACACAGATTTGCACAGAAGAACTCACAGAAATCCTCTGTGTGTGGGAGGATTTCTGTTCTAGCTAAGAAAGTGTCTATTTCCTCTATCAGAACTGCCTACGTGTATGTGTTTACAGTTCAAGGCTCCTGAGACAGATGCACAATGTGAGGCAGTGCCTGACAAGCTCATTAAATGTTTTTCACACAATCCAAAATATTATCAATTTTTTTGACTCGTGTTCAGTACAGATACACTTCCAAAATAACATTTTATGGAAAAAAAAACTTTTCTACAACTGTATTTTAACTTTCAAGATGTGTACCTTTATTTTACTGTTACTTCCAGTAAAAAGAAATTGCTGTTAACATTTTCACAAGAGCAGTAACAGATTTAGTTATCTGTGAAGTATTTATTTCAGGCCCTGAAACAATTGTTAAACTGAGGTGTCAGTTGTTAATTTGAGGTGTTCTTTGGTGACAGAGTCATATTATTATGTATTGCTTTAAGACAGGTCATTCCTTTTCACTTGAGATGACAGAGTTTAAATTTAAAGATGCTGATGAGTTCAGTCAGATGTTCTTGGTTATGACAGTAGATTTTGGTCTGTAGCAATATAAGGAAAGTTGGTGAGGAAGGACTGAGGACTAAAGAAATCTAAATTCTAAATAGAGGTTAGTAATCATGAGGACATAAGATTGGTACCTTAAATCCAGAAAAAAAAATGAAAAAATAGGCTGGGTTAGCCACGCTGTGGTGACAGGTTTTAAGAGTCCTGTGAGAGGGGTTAATGACACTGTACTGCCGGTGCAGTAGACCTCCTGTTGAAGGGCTGGATTAGGGCTTGGTCCAGCGGTGTAAACACTCAAGAGCAGGCTGGATGAATCAGCAATCCGTGGAGCAGAGCCAGGGCTGCTGCTCTTCCAGATGTTTGGATTCCAGCTGCAAGGAAAGCTGTAAATAGAAAGAAACCAATGATGTCATTCTTTCTCTTTTAACTGTTTTTAAGCGGCCATCCTTAATCCCTCATCTACCCCAGTCTTGCTTTTCAAAATGCTTTAAATTTTTCTGATTAAAGAGACTGCTTTGTTTAAATGGTGTTTTTTAAACTTTAATGTGCAATAGTTAAAGCTTCTTAGTTAGTTAAAGTGGGTTACCTTCCTTATACCTATTTTTTTTAAGTTAATATCATATAGTATATACAACTTCTAATAATATTAATTCCATTCCTCAAATCCTCAAAACAGAAACTTGTCCATTTCGAATTCTGTTGTCTGTACTTAAATTCGCAGCAGTGTGGTTTGTTGTCTCCTTATCATGGTCCATTTAGATGCTGTCTATATATTTGAATGTATGTCTTTTATTTAAAAAAATCTCTCCAGTATATCACAATAGAGTAGTATCATATTCTCCTGTAGGTCCACAGGTTATTCATTGAAATATTATTTCATTGCATCTGTTAAAGCATTTGAATGAACAGGGCAGCCGTCCTGCAAAAAAATGCCTTACTGATGTCTGCCTAAACGTTTTATCTCCTGACGTTTTCTTGCGTGGCTCTGTTCTGCAGGATTCTAAGCAGGTAATAGAATGTTTCAAATCGGGGTTTGAGCCCCCGGGAGATGTGGAGTTTGAAGACTACAGCCAGGCAATGAAGCGGACCGTCTCAGAATCCAGCCTGTCCAACTCTCGAGGGGAAGGGAAACCAGAGAAGCCCAGCAGCAAGGCCAAGGGCAAACTGTGGCCTTTCATGAAGAAGAACAAGGTATGGGCCCCGGCCTCTACGGTAGGCATCCTACAGTTCCCCGGACAGGCCCGCGAGTGCCAGGATACGTATTATCGAGGGAGGTGCTTAGGGTAGAACCAAACTGCAGCTTAATGATATCCTGCTGTAGCAGTTTTCACTCTGCCAGGGCTCTGGTATTTATTCTCAGTTCATCTGGTTTTGCGTTTGAGTGCAGGCGTTTTTATATTTGTTGTTTTTCTTTTCTATGTGATTGTTTTTTTTTGTTTTATTGTCACATTATGCCATTGTGATTGCTGCCTATCCTTGTTCCCTTTTTTTTTCTTTTCCACGTGCCATGTTCATTTTTCGGACTTGAAACACTAATGCACTAATGCAACGATTGCTCTTGAGTTCTACGGTAATTTTGTTTCCGTTCCGTCTGTTTTCCCTTTCGGTCTTCACACGCCATCTCTGCTGAATCTAACTTTAGCCCATTATAACAGTCCCCCCTTAATTATTTATTTTTCTCTGGTTTGGGCTTCCCACAACTTCCAGCTGATGTTTGGCAACTAGCAATAATGTGGGTTTTGTGCATTTGAAGTCCTGACGGATTCATTATAAAAACCGAAAGGCACCTAATGCTGCAAAGAACATGATCAAATCTTTAATTTCCTCTCGGAGACCTCTGGGAACATGGTTTACCAGTGGTATTACAGTACAAATATGCAGGCTTCAAATCTCTTCGCCATTGACAGTAGAGTATGGAGTTCCATCCTGTACATAATGTGTTGTCTTACTTTTTCCCACATATCCTGTGCAGGTTCTTAAGGTTTAGACACTTATCCCAAGCTTTAATACTTGGTTTATGTAACCAGAAAGACATGTAGATGCAGGTTATTCACATAGATAACCTCTTCTGTTGTGAGTTTAGAATAGATGACCATGTTTTCTTAAGTCTTAGTTAATGTACTTACTTAATGTACTTCTTTTAACCATGATCCTGAAGTGCCATTCCTACAGCAAATTCGTCAGTGACTGTGGTCTCAGAAACGCTTGTTTTTAAGACCATTTAAGCCAGTAATTGAATCCATTAAGTCATTGAAGGCTTGATTAGAATGATACCCAGAACTTATTCTAAGCCAAGCTCAGAATCAGTTCTTAACAATAAAGGGGATTGTATTATCTGATAGTACAGAATTGGGCAAAGGAACCAAAACCACTGTAGAATACAAGGTGACCTGAGTTGCTCACAAGACTGCAGTGAGGGAAGTAGGCATAAAAATGTATTATGGAGTAATTAATTTATATTTGGAGCAAACAGTCATGAAGAGTTTTGAACACTGTTAATTAATCCCTGGTATTTAAGAGAATGTGAGACCTTAGGGTACTGTATGTATAGGTAGAGTATTATCATCTTTTTAATTCACACAGTTCTGAGCCACCACCTCTGTATACAGTAGCCAAGGATTCATTTACTGAGCAGTGCATGTTTTTGTTTTACTTCCTAAATGCAAAAACTCATTTATTTTTTAAGACGTCTCTTTAGTTTAAATACTTTTTACAATACCTCTGTGACATGTTCTAAAAACATCCTGCACTACAAAATCAGACTTTCTGGACCTCCTCACTTATTCCCTGATGTTGCTTCATTAATTGCATTTGGAGTTAGTTAATTAAAAGTACAAGCTGTTTCAACTGATTTGGGACAGTGAGAAACAGGACTTTCTTGCACTCTAATTGAAGCTGCCTTGGGATTTCAGTGTGGCTCACCCACAGATGTCTATGAATCTCTAGTCCGAGAGCTTGCATGTAAAATTAAACAAACATAAAGTCTGCATGGACTTACTATCAACATATTTCTTGTATCGTAACGCCTTACATTAACATACTTATGCTTTTCACATTCTTTGTTTTCTAACTTCTTTTAACCTTTTTTTATTAAAAACCCCAAAACTAAAACCCATGGCTCAAATATTCGGTTGATATTCCGTTGTTTGCCCCTGTGTTTCTTTTTGAGCCTTATTTTCTCGTTTGTGTTTCTTTTATCCTTTTTTTGTTCCTTCTTCTGCCATGACTCCATCTCTCACTCGTAGCTTATGTCCCTTTTAACATCCCCACATCAGCCCCCACCTCCCCCCCCTGCCTCTGCCTCACCCTCTGCTGTTCCCAACGGCCCCCAGTCTCCCAAGCAGCAAAAGGAGCCCCTCTCCCACCGCCTCAACGAGTTCATGACCTCCAAACCCAAAATGCACTGCTTCCGGAGCCTAAAGCGCGGGGTAAGTTGTCCTGTGGATATCTCTGTGTCTGCCCTCCCTCGCTGTATGAAGAGTTCTCGCAGTACCGCCAGGAGAATAAAATAAAAGCTCACTGTTTTTATAACGAAGCCTTTTTTGGTCACATTCTAGTCTCAGCTGGATTTAATGCAAAACTCCAGCACCTGTTTTTCTTCATAGTGTTAGAATTAAACAACAGCATGTCTCTCTCTAGAGTGCGTAATTAGTAGGCCTCTATATCAGAATGCTATGATGTTATAAAGGGCCACACCTATTTCGTACCAAATTTGACATTTTCAAATCAGAAGAATGCTAAATGGTAGGCTGTTATACACAAGAAAAGCTGATACTTTAATGGGACCATTTAAAAAAAGTGTTCTTTTTGCACACACTGTAATACACTCCAAATGGTGTCACAGCTTCCCATTCCTACTGTAGGAAATTAATTTGGCAACATGCAAATTGTGTTGAACGCCATGTACGGCGGGATTTTAGTGGCAGTACTGTTGTTCTGTTCACACAGCTTTTTCCCTCTTGGTCTTTGTTTCTGGCTAGCTGTTGCACGCTCCTGTAGTCGCGATCTATCACTTGGCCTTAACTTGATAGTGCAGTAGGTGTTCGTTTCCTAAGGAACGTTTACTAGTTTGTCTTTTTTGTCCTATTTACGTTTTTCTTTCCTTTCAATCTGCAGACAAACCTTACACAAAGAGATTTATGATGATTTATAAGAGATCACTCACTTGAGGAATCAAAAGTGACTGTCAGTGAGATAGGTCTTGTCTTCTGTATGAACTCCATTTTATACAAGTCACACAAATTTATTTTCTCTGAAATTTTCCTCTTGTGTATGTTAGGTTTATTACTAGTTACCGTTTCTCAAATATGAAAATTGTACCTGAAATTTATCAACAACTGAGTGTCTTTCAGGTGTTGAAAAAATTGTCAAAAATGAAGCAGTGTCTTGCCAAAGTTTATGAACCTACCCACAGAGGCCCGGTGTTCAGCAGCATAAATAATTATGAGTAATTGCATTTCTAAAGAGATGTGGAAATACAACTGTAGGACTAGAATAATTTGACATATTAAAGAATATAAATACTAACTGTGGGTTGCAGTTTCTCTTTTCTGCCGTGGAGTTTCTGATATTGTCTAAACCTCTCTCAACTCTCATAGTGTGGCAAGTCATTGCAGTGTAGAAGGAATGGAGAATTTATAAATGGTCCTTCTTGAGATATATTGGAATATATATACATATATGATATTATGACATACATAATATGTGTATACAGTATACTTTAAATACCTGTTTACCTGTTAATTAACTAACATTTAGCCATTAGGAAAAATACATACCTAAGCCTAGATTTCATTAGAAAATGCTAACAACAATGCTAACAACAAAACACACAAATAATTTAATATATTTAGCTATTTATTTACATCGTAATTCTTACTTCAATTAGTACAAAAGATTTCTCGCATAAACTTAAGCATTGCCTGTTTCTCTTGCCTACCTTGATTTTATCAATGATAAAAATATTAACCCTTACACTAACTAGTTTATTCATTATTTCAATCATTATACTGTACATAGTTTTTAACAGAAATAATATCCCATTCATTTAACTTCCTAATCAAATATGTATTTGGCAGATATTCTGTCATCTTGTTCAATTTCTAGACTAATAGGAAAAGCAAATTCCACAAGCAAAATATGTTATCTTATTTTCTTCTCCAATTACAATTGAAGTGTTGAAGGACTTTAATTTGACTTGATTAAGCTGCACATGAAAAATACATGTGATTAATCGAATCAGAGAGAAAGCTCTGCTTCATGAGACAATATACATAAAATATCTTGCTGAAATCTGGTATATGATCACATTGACTGAGGTTTGTCTGTATGACTACAATGAGAGAATAATTAGACAATGGTACTCCAAATCCTTCACCGTTTGTATGTCACTGAATGTATGCTCAAAGCACAGTCAGCACTAAGCACTAAATGGCCATTACAGACCATTGGGGAACGCTCACACACTCACTGACTTGGTGTTGGCAATCCCACCACCTCTAGCTATCCGCTCATGAATCAGAGAGAGCCTAGGGTGGGCTTGAGCTACTCCACTCAAGCATATTAGATTTGTACAGCAGCATTTTGACTGGTTGCAATCATCCCCCTGCAGTTTATTGAATTTCCTTTAAACAGTATATCTAGTCAGACTTGGGGTCAAAGGTATCTGAAGTGCTGTTGAGATAGGTTTAAGATGTTGTTTAAATTGTTAATCCACAGGGGTTGAACACAATGTTTTTCCCTGTTCTACAGAAATATTTTACTCCAAATCTGTATTCAGTTCATTGGGATAGAATATACCTCAGGAAAGGAATTTCTGTGTCTGCAGGCTGGTTTAAATCACCTGTTTTAAAAGATAACAGGCATAAGAAGAAATATAGTGTTTACCACAAACTGAGTATTCTTACTGCACAACATTTTTAACATGCCTATCTTCTAAATGACCTAGATTTCTGGAAGGATTATTTTGGCTGCAATTGCAGCTGTTTTTCACCATTACAGTTGGTAAATACAGAATAATGTTGCTTGTGAATGCCAAAAAACATACACAGTACAGTATATACTAACTTTGTGCTATATATTTTCTCACACTCTAAAACACTTCAGTTTATTAATTTGTAGATATCTAAGCAACAGACCCATTGCTCGTTACTGTTGCAGTAACAGTAACGTTTATCCTAAAACAGTGTCAAAGAAGAAATAGATTATGCAGATTTCATATTTGTAATCATTGATTAATCTGTTCAGTTACATGACTATAAGAAAATGTGGAATATTTTATATTTTATTGAGAATAATTATGTAGTACTGTTTTGTGTAGTTTTCTCAGAAGTTTTTCAGAACTAGATAAATGAATGAAGTTATTATTTCCCATAATCACAAGATCCAAGCTAGTCTGAAGGACCAGTTTTTCCTGTATTTAAAGTCACTTCACGGGGTATGTCAGTGTCAGTTCAGTATAGATATATGATCCACAATGGAGATATGGTCCATGAAGAGACACTTTACGTCCTTTTTTGGTTGTACCATACAGTATGTATTCACCTTAGTGAATATATGAGACCAACCAGAACATTACTTTAAAACCATACTTGGCCCTAGCTTAGTAAAATTAAGTTTCCTGGTAGTACAAAACTAGGGTGAGGAGGATGGTGTTGTAAATAGTATAGGAGCATTAAAAGAATATTAAGTTGCCCTGGAAGTATATAAACGTCACACACCTGAAAACACTGTGTTCTTGGTGGCTTTTGAGCTATTCCTAGAGTGTCTAATGACAGCACCAGAATTTCCAAACCATTTTGGACAGGGAAAGTTTGTAGGAGATGATGCCCTTCTGATGAGATGTTTAACTGAGGTTCTGACTACTTGGTCATTAAAGATCGCATGGCACTGTACACGAAAACAAGGGTGTTAACCCTGATGTCCTGACTAAGTTCAACTTGGACTCCTCATTAAATTTCCTTTGTAAAATGTTGAAGCCAGTGTTCTCGCATCTCTGCGCCCGATCTGCTAATGGTACTAAACCCAATCTGCTAACCTATCCGGGTACTGCATTTCATTGGTGGATGAATTAGAAACGCCTTGTCTGAAAAGAGCTATATAAATGCAAGCCATTCATTTTTATCAAGGTGCACAAAGACCATGACCCTTGCAGAGAGGCAAAATTTGTGAATTCAAGGTCAGGGGGTGACATTTTGTTGGCCTTTGTCTATCTGTATTTACACTCTGTTGTCACTGTTGTCATCCAGTTGGTGACAGTAAAACAAAACAGTCTTATCAGTTGGCCTTTCCTGAACATCACATGGACCTCTTCCCTTCACATGCTGTATAGTGTCCTTTATTGTTCCTATTCTCTGGAAATGCCCTACTAGGCTGCTAATGATATAATAAAAACAGGAAGGGAAAACCCTATTTTGCTCGAATTTTAAAAGAAAAGAACATGCATTTGTCTTTGGTACCTTCTAGAAATAAGCAAGTTTATCAAAGTTCTTAAAACTGTAATGTTATAAATTGGAATAAAAGATCTGTATATATGTCATTCAGTGTTTACTTAAAGAAAGGGAGGAGGTTGACATCTGAACTGGAAATTGCACTTGATTCCCAAAATGGATCAAGATGGTAATTAATTTTATTTTCCTTAGCACATAATCAAGTATGGGTGTTTATAAACATGGATTGACGCTGGTTGAAAAGCAACATTTCCCCATATCTAGTATTTTCCAGTTATCACTTACTTATACAGGACTAATTAATGTTTATACAATGTAGGAATCTTGCCAATCAACGTTAATGAAGTTAAGGAATCTTGTCAATCAGAATCTGACAAATTAAAGGGAACAACGTATTTTGTTGCAACTGGGAACATTGTGACATCGTCTTATACTAAAATTTTAAAGCACCAGTAAGCAGAAGTTTACTGTGCATTCCCAAATGCATTGCTCTGCCTTTCCTAGCACACTTTGACATTGAAAACACAGGAAGATCTGGACCAAGAGGGAGCAGCTCAGAGATAACAGACAGGACTTCGCTGTCATTCTGTAGACAAATGGCTCCTCTAATCTACACTGGACATTCTCTTGTTCTGATTCTTGGTAGCTTTTGAGCTATTCCTAGAGTGTCTAATGACAGCACCAGAATTTCCAAACCAGTGCCTCAGTACGATGATCAGGGACAGTTTGTAGGAGATGATGCCCTTCTGATGAGATGTTTAACTGAGGTTCTTGGTCATTAAAGATCGCGTGGCACTGTACAGGAAAACAAGGGTGTTAAACCTGATGTCCTGACTAAATTCAACTTGGACTCCTCTATAAATATCCTTTGTAAAATGTTGAAGCCAGTGTTCTCGCATCTCTGCGCCTGATCTGCTAATGGTACTGAACCCAATCTGCTAACCTATCCGGGTACTGCATTTCATTGGTGGATGAATTGGAAAAGCCTTGTCTGAAAAGAGCTATATAAATGCAATCCATTCATTTTTATCAAGGTGCACAAAGACCTTTGGTTTGCTTGGGTGTTTGTAAACATGGATTGACGCTGTTTGAAAAGCAACATTTCCCCATATCCAGTGGTTTCCAGGGAGGGAACAGCTCAGAGATAACAGACATGACTTCGCTGTCATTGTGTAGACAAATGGCTCCTCTAATCTACACTAGACACCCTCTTGTTCTGATTGAATTTAGTAAACTGAGAAAAATGTATTTGGTTTTGCAGATCTGTAAAGAAGAACTGATCAGCCCAAAACTCAAATGTGTGTTATAAATGAGTAGCAGCTTGAGATGGTCATCAGTTAATAAGTGCAAAAAGTGCACTCATTGCAGTATAGTTATGTTTGTGGGAAGTCTTAATATTTTAAACTTCAATTTCATGCTCTCCAGTCATGCATTAAAATTATTTTTAAGCAGAACTGTACCCACTGAAAAGTTCCTTTCCATTCATTCATTTTCATTGCTCACAATGTGCATGATCACTTTTATTATTTATTTCTAGTTTTCTTGTGTCTTTTTCTTTTATAGGTGATTTAACAGCTGGTGCACACAATGCAATCCAAATAACTGGTATCAAATAACTTAATGTATTTGTATGGCTTAAATGCATTACAGGAAGTCTATGGTTCAGCAAGCTACACATCCTAATTTATAGGAAATATAAGATGGACCTGGAACTCCTGCAGCCACCCAGGTTCAAAGTGGAGAGATATTCTGTGACCATACTAGTTTAGATACTGCAAAGGAACAGGTAAAGGTCTATTGCATGTTGAAAGGAAAAGGAAAGAGACACAACATTTCAGCTGTGGAGCCTTCTTCAGGTATGAGAATAAGTCTTTACCTGTTCCTTTGCAGCCTACGTGTGCTGATGCAGCCACCTACTCAAACTAGTTTATAAACTGTCTTAAAATAAGCTAGGGCCTGCAACATCTAATGCTTCTGAATAGATCCTGCAAGGAACTGAGGTTCCTGCCTTTATTTTCCTTCCTGAAAATCCAGTGGTGTCAGTGAAAGTGCACAGTGCAGCTTCCTAATCAGATGCATAACTAGCCAGATTCCGAGACAGATCCCCATTAGTGATGGCCCGTATGGCATACCCTGACAGGATTTTCAAGAGCCTGAGGAAATTGGTGGCACATGTGCACTGTGTAGCTGCAGGCATTGCTCCTGACTGTGAGGCATTTCTGTGGAACACAGAAAACTGGGTTTCTTTCAGTCAGGTTCAGCAGGTATCAACTACGAAGGTCTGCAGTCCTGCTGGGATTGAAATAACCCACTGTTCCTCATTCTGAGACCGATGTTACCAAGTCAGTGGTGTAGATATTGTACAGTATCACATATTTCCAATCCCAGCTCTGCTGTACCCACAGTGATGTGTTGCCAGTTACTGGCAAAAACTCGAGCCTGTATCATGAAAGCTTTGAGGTGTCCTAGTGGAGGGCTGTAGCACTGTTTTGATTACTAAAGATGTGTTTTTTCTCACTAATGCCGCAGCAGAGTCGAACTTACTCTTATCACAAAGAGCTCATGAAGAGGACTTTAGGCAGACCCACATACGCGTATGAGGCCAGACAATATGTTGTAAGTCTTTGTATGGTGAGCTGGCCATACAGGTGCTACACAGTCACTAACTGCATTTTTTAAATGTGTTATCAGAATCAGATGTCTTAATCCAGGAATGTATATAAATATAATAAAGTAGATGTAATTCTGTCAAAATTTACTTTCTCAGCAAAAAGAAACATAATGTTTTGGCTTCTAAAAACTTACTGTATTACTGTTAGAAAAATTATCTATTAATGGATAAAAACATTAGTATGTAAATAAATAATACAGATGCATATTATAAGGAAATTACCTAGAAGGTGCTATAATGTTTTGTATTTACCTAGTAGAATGAAGACGTTTAATAATTTGTTTGATTATAAATTGTTGTCTTCCAATTTGAATATATTATTCTATTAAAACACCAAAAATTAATATTTTGTACTGTATTATGACAAGAACAGCTGGTTGTTGATTGTTTAGTTAGTTATTACGCATGCTCCACATTCTTCAGTTAGCATTGAAATTCTATATCAGACTACGTTTTGCTGGCTTTTTAAATGGGGTTAGTGTCTGTGTCTCTGGGTGCCCAATAACACATGATCATGTGCTGGCTTCATTCTGTGTCTCATGTGTTATTGAAACATGTGGCTATGTAACTCATACCTGTGACATGCTAATAGATTAGACTTATGTCTTCACAGACAATAGCCCCTGCATTTAACGTCTAGATCAGCTGACATGATGGGGTGAATTCACAGTGTGTCACAAGTAACCATTGGAAATGTTTTTTTTTAGCCAAGAATTCCTACAGTTCTTAGTTTTTGCTATATGTTTTTTATCTTAATTTGAAGATTTATAATTTCAGCTTACACTTTGGAATTCACTCTGCTTTGTTAGCTGTACAGGCAAATCGGCATCCATAATTCTTCAAACTTGTGCACATATTCCTGATTCCCCTAAATTAAAGGTGCCTGTAGAGCAGCATTGTAGATCATGCGCGATTATACTGCATTTGTGGAGCTTTGGTCATGGCATTGTGTTCAGAAGAGACACATTAAAGTTTTAGGTCTTTTATTGCATTCTTCTGAGATGTAGCCACATAGCATACGTATTTCACCACAGACATACAGTAAGTTGTGAATTTGTTAAATGTAGTGCTTTACAAGACATACAAGACTTTGACCACTTCAATCTCAAATTAAGCAGCAACATGGAAAAAAATACTTAAAAGCAAGTTTTTTCAAGTGTGTTCGAATTTCTATTCTAGCTAAATTACCTTTTTTAAAAATGGAATGAGCATTTTTTATTATACACCCTTTAATTTGGAAATACCAGTTTTTAATTAATCAATCCTTATTATTAAGACACTGCATACCTAGCACCTACAGTAGGACACCTTACTCTGAGACATGCACTGCCAGAGCTACAGTATCTGCCATTTTGCACACTGCTGCCCAGCACCTTGCTGGAGGATTGACATGGTTCACTGACAGCACTGCAAGCTCACAGGTATACGCAAAGCCTTAAAGATCACTTAAAGCAGAATCTGGACCGAGTCTCAGTTTGCACTCCAAACGCTAAATAAATAGAAGCACAAATTGCTTCTTTTTATCCCCAGACATCAGATTTAGTTACCTAAAGGGATTACTGCTCTGACATAGAAATCCCTTTGGATCTTTGCATCTGTAAAACACTCACTCTCTTTGGTTCTTCTGCACATTGATGGTGTTATTTTATGACAGTGCTATATTCGTTTCATAGCCCTGTACAGAACTGCAGGAAGTAATATGCTGTAATCATTTAAACAGAAGCAACAAGAAACTAAGTCCAGTCTACATTGTCTGAGAATTTCTTCTTCTAAAGCTTCCATCTTTTTAATCTCTCTTGTGTTTCAACAATACTGCTCAGCTCTTCTTTTCTCAGAGCACAAACTTTTGCCAAAGCCAAATGTTTCAGCATGTTTTTTCCTATTTTGAAACTACCTCTTATTACTTTCATATATTGATCAGCTACTGTACGTTCCCTCACTTTCACACAGTGAAACACACACACAGTTACCCAGGAAAATACTCCCTAAATAATGTTTTTCATCTTTTTTGCTTGTCTTACAGTTTTATTTTCTGTATTTTTAAACTTTTCTTCCATTTTTGACTGTTTAATCCATCAGAAAATTTGTTTCATGACTCTTTTATTTTTGGAGTTATTTTTTAATTCATTAGCATTGATGCTTTTTTCATTGATATTTCAAAGGGTATCTTAAAACAGCTCTGACACATTAATTTATTGTACTTAATTTAAAAAAGGCACTGTGTTTTATATGTATATACAGTACACACTATCATAAAAGGTTTATACTGTAAGTATCTCTGTACAGAATTACTTCCATAAATCATTTCAGTACAATGAAATCTCAAACTATTTTTGGACTACATTCCAATCTCAAAAATATGTATGCTTCTAATTAGTCAGTCTTACTTCCTTTGTTGTCCCAAATGTGCTTTGCAGGTAGGTGAGAATATATTCATGATACAGAATACATAAGCCTTCAGAGATGTTCAACATATTTTACACCTATTTTATAATTTTGGCAGTAGCTCTCTTGCTCTGGCAGACGCAAATACCCTCACTGTGGCTGAGAACTCGCGTTAATCTGTACAAGGGAAGTGGTTTAGACCTCTAAATTATCTGTCACCTGCAATGGCCATCCGTAGTTGCTCATCAGCCTTTGAGGAAGAAAGGCTTCAGTTTTCCCCATATTCTTACAAGTCAAAACACATCTGTGTGTTTTGTTTAATCAGTTCACTATGGATTTTGCCTGCATTCTATAGAGTATTGTATACAGAGTGGAATTGATCTACTTCTCTGACACAAGTAATGTGAATAACAATCCACATTTTCTTAATGTTACAAAAGAAAAAAAAAGTTTAACAGGTTGAGTCTCTGGTTTCAGTGTACTGAAATGCACAAAGTGATGAGCCAAGCATTACGTATTGTCTGGTTTAGGTGCATTAGGGACATTTTATGGGGCTGGAATCTGTGCAGACGTGTAATTGCATTTGTGCAGAATGAGTGCTGCCTGCTTCAGTATGACCGGTCCAGGTCCAGATAGTCCCCCCAGTCTTCATAGCTGTGCTGTACTTTGGCTGGATTGAAGGGTTGGATGACCAGTCTAGTCATGACCTGACCTGCTATGTGTCTTCCTGCCAATAGTCTATCTGTACCTGTTGGCTCCTCATACAACCTGCTGTGTCATGAGCAGAAAGGTGAAGTGGTGATCTGTTGTATCATCAGCCTGTATGTCTGTGTGTATATCATGTCTTTTCTTCACTCTATCACACCCTCCACCTCTCCACTCTGTTGGCTGACTAGTGTGTGTTTTAGCCCAGTGGCTGTTATCTTCTGTGTCTGGTGGGGGGGAGGGGGGGTGTTTCCTTATGAGCCCTCCGCTGAACTTCACTGGATGACTTATAAAATAAAACTAAATGGACTGTTATTACTGCATTGGAAATATTGCAAAGGTGCTACTAGCATTTGTAAGTATTTGGTTTCACGTGAGTCCACTAATCTGAATAAACTTTGCAATTAAATAAGAGCAAGTTTACCCTAATTCCTACTAAATACCACCTAAGAGCTTTGTTTGCCTCTGAATGCTTTTTGTTCTCTGCTTAGTAACAGTATGAATGCCCAGAATTGAAAAAGTAGATCAGAATTTTCCAATCCCTGCCACAGAAGACCTGTATGTCTGAAAATTCTGTTGAACTAAATCAGCTCATTATTGGCTTGACTGGAACAAATTCTCCTAGTGCTAGAGCTTTAACGAGAACTAGAAAATCTATAAAAGACTTGAACTGGCAACCCCTGAATTAGAAAATTAGAATCCTTCTATCATGACAGCAACATTTTTGAGTTGTATCCTGACTCATCAAATCTCAGAAGCTAAGCATGGCCTGGCCTGTTCAGTACTGATCTGGAAGACGTGTAAGTAAAACCAGGTTGCAGCTCTAAGTGGTGCTGGTGTAGGAGTTACTCTTCACTTTAGACCAGAATTTCCCCCACTGTGGTAAATGGGAGCACTGTGCTTTAGGACGTGCTCTCCTTCAGATGAGATGTTGAAAGTACTAACAGTCTGATTATTAAAGGCCCCATTCCACTGTTCCTGAATGTAGTTATCCATGCTAAATTACACTTTGGGGCTTGCACAATGTAGACACAATGTAAATTTCCTCCTGAACTGAATTGAGCAGGACAGTTCTCACTCTGCCTGATTGGCTATGTGGTGGAGTTGCTGGCGCGTAATGTGTCAGCCAGGTAGACAAGGCACTTCAGTGGTGGATGAAGTGGGACTGCCCCTTGTACTGTACATGCAAGATGCTTTGGGATCCTTTGAGGTGAAAATCACTATATGAATGCAATAGTATTATTATTACAGCTCTTAACCTTGTTTCCTTACTAATAATTATGATTACTATAAACATAGTTGTTGCATTTATATAACTCTTTTTTAGTTTTGTAGGATAACTGTTTTAATCTGAACCCTGTTTATCATTGCAATATTTCAAACTGCAAAGGGTGCACATTCTTTAATTTTAGGAAAATGGAACAAATGAGCCCTTTTTTTCAATATTTAACAAACCATTTCCCCAAGCCTTCCATGTGGTGATGTTCTGCGCTGGGCTGCTCTTAGAATGTTTTTTTTTTCCTTGTGATGAAGTGTGCGCGTGCCATAATATAGCTGTTAACAGTTCGTGTGAGCATATCCAGAATACCAAATGAAAAGTTCATTTCCTGCTGATATCGACTTCTTATTGTTTTGTCTTTCTCTCTTTTTTTAAAAAAAAACTCTCTCCTTCTCCCGTGAAGCTTTCTCTCAAGCTGGTAAGCATGAATATAGCATGCTCATCCTGACATTTTTAATCAGAATAATTAAGTGTTTTTGTTTTTTTTTGTTTTTTTGTGACACAATAATTAATTGTGAAAACATGTTGTTGTCTCTTTTTTGTTGTGTTTTTGTCTCGTTTCTGTTTGTCCTGCTTTTTGTCTCTGTCCTGTCAGATAACTCTGAACACACAGGTCCGGAGTCTAATCGAGGTGATCAGCCTTATATAATCTCTCCTCTTTTGTTTTCTGGTTGCTTTTAATATTTAAGATTAAAAAACAAATCCATTTTAAAATGAACATTCACTTTTCTCCAAATTACAGCAGGGCTCTAAACCTACAGATGATGAGAGGCTGATAGGGATGGGGTTTAACAGATCAAGTCGTTCATCAAAGGAGGAAATGAACCATTCAGACCAACCTGCAGTAGAGAAATATTTAAAATAGTCAGTTCCTGGTACCAAATGGCTTGTTATGTTTCCGTTGACACCAAGCAACAAAACAGAAAACTTTCATATGTAGCAATCATAACAAACTATTGAGAGCAGATTAATTTTCCTTTTTTGTTTTTAATCAAAGGAAGTGTTACATAGCCAGTTACTGCCAGTATTACTAATCTAAAAAAAGGCTAACAGGGTTCTGAATTTATTCTAGGACCAACATTTTCTGTTCTGAGTCACTCTGGCTGCTTTTGATTCTAGATTACATTTAGGAAATTGATTCGGCTCACTCCATTAGAGTTCAGAAGCTATTGTAATGCTCCAGCGCTTTGACAACAGCGAAGGAAAGAGCAGGTTCTGCTTTTTAATATTCCACTCAATTGTAGTTTGTCAATGCATATAGTCATTGTACCATTATGGAATTTGATTTGCTCAAAGTTGAGCTAGAGTGCTGAGCTCTTGGTTGCCCAGGGTCAATGGTTCATTTTCCCTTTTTTTTTTACTTCAAAATATAAATGTAAAAAAAACTTTGTTGTTAGGTGGCATATCGATTTGTCAGACATTGTTGTGAATTTGTCCACTGTGTATGAAGTTAGCTCTGTTATATGGTGGACAGACTTCGCAGCATCATGCTAAAATGCATTGACAGGTGTCATTACTGTTTAGAGCCCTGTTGATTTTACCTACAGTACAAGAGTAATACTGTAACGTCTCTAATACAGTTTAATAATCCTAAAGCATCTCAATCATTATGTGTTCTTAAACCTATTTATTCAATAACCAAGTACTGTATGTGAAATTAATCAAATCATACTAATTCATTTATATCTTAGTAGTGTTTCATATAAAGGGTTTGGTAATTACTGTAGTTTACAATCTAAGTGCATTTATAAGATCCTTAAAAACGTAATGTTAAACATATTAAAAACTTAAAAATTAAACTTAAAAGCTCAAAAAGCATATCAAAGTGTTTGTGTTTGTAAAAGAAAGCATTGTTTAATTTAGAGGAGCCTTACATTGAACAATTATTGTGACATTTTTTTAAAATAGTGCAATTCAGAATTTTAATTAAGAGCTTTAAGGGGGTGCTTTTTAGGGGAAACTACAGGTAAGACATGAATGGCATCCTTAGTTTGAATTTTTGAAATCATGCTGTTAATGTCACATTAGGCCTTTTCTTACATATTTTACAAATAGTGAGGTAACATGCAGCACCAGTAGTAAGATATGAAATGAGTGTGATGTATTTTATTTAATAAAAAATAAATTGTTTTAAAAATAATGTTCTCTTTAATTTACTGTTAAATAATATGTTAATTGCATGGCTGGTTAAGGTGTTGGGTTCTCATGCAGAGAGATGGGGTAAGGTGCTTCATGTTTATGATGGTGTGGTGACATCTGTAATAAGCAGGCCTGTGATCTGTTAGTGTGCAAAAGAGTTGATTGTAAACCTTTTCAGTCTGAAAAACTCAACATCAAAACTCTTAAGGCCAGTGCTGAGATCTTGAACTGAAAAATGAACAGGAGATTTAGATTAAAGCCCTGGTTAACCAGTCTGTTTCATGTAGATAACGTTTGTGAATCTGGTGCCAGAAATGTGTCTCAAAATGAAAAAGAGCCATTGTGCACTTTTAATTTAAATAAGTATGCCATGAAGTATGTGGTATAAAATAAATAAAGAGGTTGCCTAGGAAAATGGGAGAAATCTCTTCTTAAACATTATTTCCTGACTCAAGTAAAAACAAAATATATAACCCAGTGGCCCAGCAGAGACTGAGTCTGAAGCTCTTTTCCCCATTATGTGGGGTGTCTTTGTAATGAAGCATACAAATGTACCTGTCAGGGAAAAAAAGATGACTAGTGCCACCATCTGGTGCAGCGTTGAGCTGCCACACATGTGAATCATGTACCAGTGGTTGGGCGCAGGCTGGTCTTTAGACATATACAAGTTTGTTAATAATAATAAAATGATCTGCAATGACTTAATACTTTTAACATGCAACATACTTTTAACAATTGGTCAGCAGGAATGATTATTTTAATATTTCACAATGAGAACTCTGCTCTTTAAACAGCACTGTATTTTTAATTGTGGGATATTTGTAAATTATAATCTGAGTGCAAGTACAGGTGACCCTCCTGAGAAAAAAAGAAAATGCTTCTAATAGCATTTTTGCTAATGCACAGGGATGAGGCCAGAGATTGAAAAGGTTTATAGAGGCCAGCAGTGGGAAAGCTGCAGTCTCCCCTTGATTTAAAACATAATTTCTGTGAAAAATAAGTGCTCAATTAGTAGGGCCGAGATGAAGCTGAGCATTGTTGGATGCCTTCCATCCCTTGAGATCCAGCTTTAATGAGCTGTTATTTATGAATATCCTTACTTGTGGCATGCACTGTAAATGCAGTGCTGAGGTTTTATACCCTTGCTGTGGCAGTGCCAGGACAGGTGAAAAGGTCAGTGTCAGGCAGTGAAGGTGGATGTAACGTCCAAGTGCTAATAAATCAAAGAAGTACCCTAATGGCAAACCAAGCGTAATGATGCACTTACTGTAGCAAGCCTTACAGATAGGCTATTGCTTGTCTGAGTCCCAGCAGATTTTGCACATTTTGCAGTTAGTAGTTGGCCATGGCCAGCAGGGAAGAGACAAAGTGACTGCAATAGGAAATCCATTGGAGGGCTGTACAGTAGCAGTAATCGAAAGCTGGATCGGAGTGGGAGGAAATTATATTTCAGTTTCACCGTTGTAAAAACTATATACAGTATATCTGTGGGTAAAAACGGTGTTAGAACTATGTAGAAAATATACTGGTGTAATACAGAGAAGTCCTTTCATTTACTGACTAAAATACAAAAATCCGTAGCTGAAAATATGGCAGTAGCTTTATTCATTGTAATAGCTCAGCATTGACAAGACAATAATGCATTTTTAACCTTATGTCCAATTGGCTGTATGGCACAGGGTTTGAATTGTTTTTAGCTAAATTGTTTTAAAGAGGGGTGTACTGCATCTGTTATTGGTGGTAGATGGGTGTATAGTCTCTCCAGTTTGGTAGGAAATGTGCAGATGCTGACTGCGATTTTCTCCTTTCCCAGGGCTCTGGGCCGGAAGATTTTAGCCACTTGCCACCGGAGCAGAGGAGGAAGAAACTTCAGGCAAAGATTGACGACCTCAACAAGGAAATACAGAAAGAGATGGATCAGAAGTAAAATCCCATTTTTCTACAGAGGATTCTTCAGTACCTTGCCTATTTGTTTCATTTCAGAACACTTTCTAAAGGAACAGCTTACATAGCTGTAAGGAACTCTTACAGCTATGTAAGAGTTTAATAGTGATGAGAAGACAAAGATCTATTTTGTTAACTTATTATCTCAGTATTTACAGGTTTCTGTAAGGAGAAGTATTATAATCAAATCAAATATTTTAGGAGAACTGAGTTTTTAACAAAAACCGACATCAAGATTGCCCTGTTCAGTAACTGAATTTGTATCTCAGGAATTTCATTTTATTTTTCTGTGGCAGGGATGCACTGACCAAAATGAAAGACGTCTATGTAAAGAATCCCCAGATGGGAGACCCAGCCAGCGTTGACCCGCGATTAGCTGAAATCTCGCAAAACATTGAAAAGCTGCGACTGGAGGCGCAGAAATTTGAAGTGAGTCCCAGTGTTTGCTCGTGTCATCTTGAGCACTGTGGGAGGCTGCTGCCACAAAGAGGATATAGCTGCACTTGAAGGGAGTGCACTTCTCAGAAACAGGCTTGAAAAAATCAAGCTGTGTTGTGTTCATATTCTCCTTCCCTTTTTCACCCACCTCCTTGCTAACCTCACAGAAGGCGTTCGCTTTAAGCCCTACCAAGATGCAAGCGATCATTTAAGGCAACTCAGGCGGTATCTTGGAATGAAAATGCCTTCAGAGGACAGAGCTTTTATAAATAAAACAGAAAACAGAAGTGGTCCTACCCCAACATAGGAAACCATTTCCAATTCCTGCAGATGTGTATTCTGCTGCCTGTAAGGAGACAGCATAAGGCATGAGCACAGAGAATGTTATCTGTGGATGACATTCTTCTGGCACTTGAGAAAGAGCAGCTGGACAATATATTGAAAAAAGCTCCATCTTGCACCTTGGCTGATATTTAGTTTTAACGCCAAAGCCTGAATGCTTATCCCTCACCCACCTCAATTTTATCTAAATTCTTTACAGATGACAAGTTAAAGGATTTCCCCATTGGGAGTATCCAGAATGAACTAAACAGAACAGAAGGTGTATATGAAATTCTGCCAGCTGATTCTGATCACAGGGTGCTGTGTAGCAGTATCCTGACCAATTATTTTTATTTGAATTAACAATTAAGTCATTTTAAAAGAAGTAAACAATTTTACTTTGTATGAACTAATAAGACCTTATGCAGTAAAAGCAATAATATCTAGTTCAAGAGTTAATACTTCATAGGAGTATTAGCTCACCATAGCTTTGTATAGGGGACCTCACACACTCAATTTATTCTATTCACAGTGCTCTATTTAATTGTCTTCTTTCATTAACATAATTCTTCACATTTAGCTGGTCTTATCAGAAAGGAATTCTTTTTGGTTTCAGTTTTCACAATATTTAAAATCACCAGTCCTGGTATCCAACCACAGCATTAAAAAAAACCTTAATTGATCAGTGTCACTAGAATGTACTGAGCGGAACTTCATTCAAGGCATAAATGGAACTACTGCCTACTTTGTTTGCAATTTCCTTGCTTGACTTAAAAGTCTCATTAACCTGTTGTTAACCTGCACACCTGATTTCATCAGGGAGTGTAGAAGATTGAAAATAATTTGTGCTCAAAACTTGTTTGTGGGATGAACAGTTCCACCATTTAGTTTTTGAGTCAGAATTAAGAAAATACCTATTTTGAGTGCAAAAACAACAGATAAGACAATTGATCAAATTTATATGATTGTGATAAATAAGGCTACTATTACTTCCTGTAGAACAAGATGAAAGCAGTACAGAAAACAGTAAGAGCAGCACTCTAAGCATCAGAGAAGATTTAATATTTTTTTACACGACTAGAGGAATTTTCTCAATGTTTCTGGGGCCTTTGGACTGTGGAGTGTGAATCATACTCCCAAGACAGCTTAAAGAGGCAGTTCTTAACTTTGACCTCGGTACCTGAGGGGTATCCTCTGAAACAGTCCAAGCGTCTTCCAGAAACAATGGCAGAATTTCAGCTCCTGTAGTGTGGTAGTCTGGTTGACTGATGGCTTGTATTTTTCCAGGGCTGGCTGGCAGAGGTGGAAGGAAGGCTGCCTACGAGGAGTGAGCCCCCACGAAGACAGAGTGAACTGTATGAGACCCAAAACAGCACACCTGTCAATAACAACTGCGCACAGGACCGTGAGAGGTACAGTACAGCTCATCTGGAAAGAGGGAAGATGCTGGAGGTGAAAGATTCCGAATTATTACTAGTAAAAGGTTTCAAAAGCTAACGCAAATTGGAAAATGTAATAAAAAGGTCAAATTGTATTTTTAGTTTATTAGCCTATCTAATATGATTGAATAAAGGAAACAGGACTCAAGGGCAGTCTTCCTCCTTGGAGTGCAAAAGTCCAACAGGTTTTATCAATGTTTCTTAATCTGTAATGTATGTCTGGTAAAAATGTATCAGGACAGTAATTCTAAGCAATTACTGTAATAACTTATAAAATGTAGATTTTGTGTGCAACAAATTAGGAGACTGTGGCACATCCATTGGGGCTTGGCCCCCAGTGATTAATAATACATCTCAAATTAAGAATTTACTTTCTAATTAAACAGAACTTCTAGGAAAAATTCACTTTACAAATAGAACTAAGCTTCTGAAAGCGGAAGTAAAACCTTCGTCCTTCACAAAGGCTGCCCTGTTCTGACCACTCTGAGCCGTTGCTATAGTTACTCTATGTGTTCCTCCCTTGAGCAGCCCGGATGGCAGTTACACAGAAGAGCAGAGTTCCGAGACTCAGATCAAGGTGCCCAATACAGAGTTTGATGACGAGTTTGATGATGAAGAACCCCTTCCCACTATCGGCACCTGCAAAGCCCTTTACCCATTCGAAGGTACAGTAACTCGCGAGTCACTGTTGTTAAGCTCCGGGGAGGGGGAAAGGCAAGCTCTGTTTTTTTTTATTTTCAGCATCCATTAAGTTTGCCTTTCCAAAGACACACTCAGCTGTGAATAACAGAGCTGCCTAGCACGTGATTGGCTTGTTTGTTTGAGAATCTTCTTGGTCTCCAAACAGGTGCAGCGGCCTTTGGTTCATCCCTCCTTCTGCATCAGACTGAGAATACATGGGCGTCATTAGGACTGTTCATGAACGCATTCAGACTCCTTTCTCTGTTTACTCAGGACACAATGAAGGCACCATCACAGTGGCAGAAGGGGAGATGCTGTACGTAATTGAAGAAGACAAAGGGGATGGCTGGACCCGGGTGCGAAGGAACGAGGATGACGAGGGATACGTGCCTACGTCATACGTTGAGGTCTATTTGGACACAAATGCCAAAGGTGCTATGACATACATTTAACAGTAGACACATGAAGAGCATCCAAAGTGCTATCTCTTCAATCCAAGCAGGGCCAGTCCTTAGTTCAGGTGGCAGAACAGGGCAGCCCTAATGCCAGCTGCACCTTCTCTTTGAGCTTGTGCTACAATGCAGGACAATTTAAAACCCTTCTTCAGTGAGTACAGATGTCCTTGTTCTCAAATCACTGCATTGTAGGAGGAATGGGGTGGGGTCACTGGAATTTGTTGGGGGTGGGGGGGAGCGAAGAAGGGTTTTCACTGTTTTCTGCACACACTATTGCGTCGTCTGTGTTTTTAAAATAATTCTTTATGTTGTGCGTTCAGCTCTTAAGTGCTGGTAACTGTGGGAGAATGCCACCAGAGAGTGAAAAGCACAAAAAGAACATCCTTTTCCTGTGGTAAAGCTGGTTATACTGGTCCACATGTAAGGCTTTCTGATTAACTTCTGTGATAGTTACCTCCATAAGCACAACTGATGGGGGACAATGTTTGCTCTGTTTTATCAGCTGTTCTTAATGTTTTACGATATAGCAAAGTGGTGCCATAAATGATTGAACAGATGTATATACAGTACATATTTAAAATATGGACAGGTTTGTGGTTCCTTCACACTTACATGCATGTTTTCCTGAATTATCAAGTCATACTGATATGAAACCATTTCAGTTAGTATTGCTTTCTCAGAAATGTTACTGCATCGTTAAAATATCACTTAATTGTTTGTTTGGCGGAAAGAAAGCTAGATGTTGTAATAAAAAATCTTTTGGTGCATCTTGCCAAAAAGCTTTTTATTTGTATTTTAGTTACAGAGAGGGTTTTTTTTTTGTTTTTCCTGCATATCTTTCTTCTAAAGATACATTTACAGTACGTACAAATCTCTCTTCTCTTAAAATTATTTGTTTAACTTGTAGTATTGGCTAAAGGTTTTACTTCCACATAAATCAAACACAAAAACAGAAATTGAGTACACTAATACCTGACAGAGATTTAAAAAATAAAACAGCTTGTTCTCTCTCCCCTCTCCAGTGTTCCACTGCTGTTTTTGCACAGTGCTGTTTTGGTTATTTAAACAGACAACACAATCCATACTTTCTTTTAGTGGTAAATGAAGACTTTGAAAGCACTTAGTTTACAAAATGTGGTGACTATGTTAATCATTCGATGTTCAGACAGTATGTACACTATGTTCTGCAGTTTCTAGTTCTGTAATTATAAATTGTATTTGAAGAAAAGAAGCAAAATCTTTAACACATTTCTTTCTAATTAGATTGAAAACTAACCAAGTTGCCAAATACAGGTAAATGAACTGAAATGCATGATCCCTCACTTTCTGCAAAAATGACGTCAGATAGTATTTGTGGCAGGCAAAGACATCCTTGCTATGCAAATATTTGCAATAAAAGTGCAAATCTGTTCGGCAAAATAACCTTTTTTTTAAATAATCTATTTTATATTTATCTTTCAAAAATGTATGCATCTCATCAGGAGGATTTACCAAGTGCATGAGAAACAACTTGCTTTCATGCGTATCTGTCAGATACCGTTCTTTGTTTCAGTACATATTTCAATGTCTCGATTTTTTTGGCAACACCAGGAACTCCACATTTTAGTTTTTGTTTTTTATGGTATTTGTGTAACAATTCAACTCACAATCTAAAACGATTTGTGGCTGACTAAGCACTATTTATGCATGCCAGATTTGTTCTTTAAACTGAGAACTATATTATTCTCTTTCTGCCTTTTTAAGAACAATTGTTGTATATAAGGTGCCCTTATTGTAACACCCTTTTCCCCTTTCTCCTAACTCAGTACATTTCTTGAGTGAAAATATCACTATTGGCTCTATTGCTCATGCTGGGCAGGGAATCAACAAATTCATTCTTTTCAACATTTCCACAACAAAAACCTAACATTCTCATTAACATCCTCATACACAATGACCATAAATAATCAACAAAATACTAGTGACACAAGCATGACGTAAGGGAAAGTATACTTATAAACTGGTTTCGGAAGAGCATGAAGAAATGTTATTTGAAAATTAAAAATCCCATAAGCACTTGTATTTTTAAGAGGTGCATACCAACAGTAAATGAAAACAGAGTGGGTTACTATACAGTCCTGCTATAAACCATCTGAGCTGCTGTTCACATTAATATGTTAAAGTGCTGTGCAGCATATGAGATTGACAAATACTGTGTGATCTGCTGTAAAATGTTGTGGTGTAAAAATATTTAATCTTTTTTAAGGTTACTGAGGATTCATATATAGTAATACAATATGAAAAAGTACACACTTATACTTAACATTTCCATTTTTATCAGATTGCCAATATGTAGTTTACTGTGCTAATAATAATAACTGCATCTGCACTATGGCGACAAAATAGAGAGTTTTGCAATCATTTCATTTTCCTTAAGCACAAATCGGTCACCTGGAATATGACGCGTTCAGGGCAGGAATGAAATGTTTGTCAGACATTATCGTCCCAAGGTTAACGAGTGCATGGGCTGCTTCTGTTGCATTCTAAAAGGTTTTTGTTATTGCTTTTGAAGCAATGTGTCTGAATTGTATTATTTTTTGTGTTAACCTTGCAAAACTGAAATAAAACTAAAAATCAGACTAGAGCTGCAAAACAGCTTTTATACTCACAAGATATATTTTGACAAAATAACCATTGCAGCCCAAAAACAATCAGGACTGAACAAATATACTTATACAGTACATATTGTAGTTAAAAACTGAATGGCCAGTGCTATTGCTGTTATAATTTCACGGAATTGCATTGCCTGTCTTATGGGGAATGTGATTTCTTCCCTCCATATCTAATTTTTTTTTGCATCCTATCTAACATGTTCTTGTTATTTGTGTTGTGTTTTTGTTTTTCTTTGTTTTAAATTGCAGATTCCTAAAAGTGTGGGGCTGGCACAGGAATCACAGGGCAAGCTGCTTCTGGAGAAACCCGTCCTCCTCTTAAAATGCTTTTAGTCAGGAAAACAGACGCCAGAAAAGGGGACAAGTTAGGATGCGGTTGATTTTCGCCACTCAAAAGTAAAAAAAGCAATTGATTGAATGCTCCTTCTGGTAGCAGAAAGAAAAGTAAAGAAACCAAATTTATCAACCATCATATTTTCATATTCTGCTTCTTTTGTTGCTGCAAGGCATGCTTCTCGACATACTAACTTGGCTTCCTTTTCTTCGTCAGCAGTGGTCACTTGCTAATGCTCACAGCTCTTTTGACAGGGCTCCTAGCTAAAGACATAAAACGTGATCTTGACCAGAAGGGTGTGCCACAGGATCAGAAACCATATCTTTTGAAACCATTTTATTCCTGCAGAGCCAAGCCACCTTCCCGCATACCTGGTTTATAAAGTTTACATACTGTAGATCTTTCACATTGCCTTTACATGGACCTGCAGGACTATTCCCTGCAGATGATTTTAATGGCATAGCATGAACATACTGCATGGAGAAAACACATTTCATTTTATACTACAAACAGCCTTAGAAAGAAAGAGATTTTGCAGGATGGGATTTAACTACTTTTCATAGCATGTTGTGCTACTCTCACTCTGTGGCTTCAATAAGTGCAAAAAAGAAGAAATTTTAGCCAGTTGTGCATCTGTTTTTCTCATGCTTTTTTCTCAAACACGAAAAGCAAGCATAAAAAAGTTAACCCCCGAATTGGACATTTTGCACTGGAACACAATTCACGGCATACTGTACCAAAGACAGGATTGAACGTGAACTTGTGTTGCTACATGGAAGCACACAGACTCCGTTTTCTGCTCACGTTCTTATGCCTGTAGGCAGTGTGCTGTAGATGAGTCACTCATGACTTCCCCCAGTCTTTCTCTCCTGTGATGCACCCTCCGGTAAAGGACTCCACATGCTTCTCACCCAGGCTACAAGGCCGTGTGTTTTGATTCCTAATTTTGCCGTTTTTCTAAGCTTGCATGCTCGCCCTGTCTCCCTGCCTTTGCCAACCTAAATGGTTTTGGAGTCTTTGGCCTGTTTTAATTTAACCATTGCCTGTACAGTTTTAAATGTTTTATGATGTTTTTTTTTCTACATTGTGCCTGTGTTTTCATTTTGTGTTATACCCCCCCCATCTCGCATGATCACCTGCGTGTGTGTTACGTTGAATTTAATAATTTTACACACTCCCAGAATTTTCATTTTCCCTCCAGCTGATGAGGAAATGTTTTTGAGGATCACAATTTGTTTTTGAATAGATAGAGAAGAAATATCCTATTTTATTTCAGAAAACAAAAATGAAGTACTGCCAATCTCCATGAACAGTGTTACAAACAAGTCCATGTTACCTCATTATACTTTTTTTTACTATCAGGCTCTGACCCACAGAGAAATCATTTTCTGTTTCAGTAATGAGCAATCTGTGTAATAATTTTTATGAAATAAGGTGATTATCTGCATAGCTGGTTGTGTTAAACTGGTCCTTGAAGACTTTCCCTACTGAAGAGGCATAATTAGAGTATTATAAAGCAAAATTGGGCATTTCTGGGCTGTTTGTGGTCAGCAGTAATTCTTTGATTAGCAGCCTCCCATTAAGGTTCTTCTGTGTGCCACAGCTTTTTTATATATAAAAAATATGTGTCCTTTGTAATGTGGAGCCGGACAGTACATTATTGTCAGCTCAGTACAAATAGTATATGTCAATATATTCTGTTCTTTGTGGCACATAATGATTTTATTAAATTTTATGGGGTTACACAAATGTCAGTTTTCTTCTCTCTAGACTGATCACACCAATCGCTATTAAACAAAAACCCTCGCCAAAAATACATTTTGGAAGAACATTAAATAAAGTTTGGAATTCATATTAACACAGCTCTTAACTTTCATAGGAATATTTTGAAATGGTCTTAATGCTATATGAAGCCTGTTTGTTTAAAAAAACACTTCTTAAAGATGAGACTGATGATTTTTTAAGTAAGGATTCCCTAAAGTCTGGTAATTAAATTAAAATTTTAAATCAGCACAGTGCAATGGCTAAGCTTGAGTGAATGATGAGGATCATCACAGAAATTTAGTACAAACAGCTTTTGGGTTATGATTGTTGGATCAAACAGATTTAACAGCACTGAAACGTATGAGACTCATTTATCATGAACATTGCACAGAAAAATTTCCAAGTCCACAGTTTCTTGCATTATAAATGTTAGGGAAACAAGTGTTCAGTTTTGGAAGTTATATTGTAGTATAATAATACGTGACATACAGTATGTTTGCAGTAGTGAGACAGTCTCTTAGAGAAAGCCTGAATTTACTTTGGCACTCATCTGTCTCTGATGAAGATTCTGACCACTACCTAGGAGCTGGAGCCCCAGATGTTGGCAGTGTAGTCTACCAATGGCTGTGCATTAGAAATACAAAACAAGCATGAAAAACAATGGCAAAGCCTTGAACAGGTTACACAACATTCGGATATAATGTATGCATGATGAAAGGAGAACTTGAAACAGCACCTGAGCTGATGAAGGATCGGTCACCTCAAGTTAAGTTGCTGTGGTTTGTAACTCATCCTAATATGTACAGGAGATGTTTTCAGAATCAGATGATATATATAAATAAAAAGTTTAAAAACAAATTGAAAAAAAATCTATTTTTAAAAAGTTTAACTGTAATTGTACGGTTGTTGAAAATAAGTTTTGCTTTGCTAAGAGACATTGTTTTGTAAAGTCAGCCAAATGTTCTGAATGGTTTTGCACTTTGTTTTTTTGTTACATTTAGTAAGCTTTTGTGTCCGAGCATTGAAGTTCACAAGTTATTTTTACAGGATACTTTACATTAACTGTGCCAATTAAAACAAACAAAAATGTTTTCTGTCAAGTAAATAAGTACTCATAATGCTTACTAGTCTCTTAGTTGTGAGGGGAGTAGGTGTCAAAAGAGTTTCCTATTCTTACTAAATTGGCTAAATCTCTCAATGGTTTTCTTCTTAATGTATGTTTGAGGTGTACATTTCATCTATAGCAGGGTAACTTAAAATGGAACAGAGACAGAAAGTTTAGTACCTTAGAATTTTTTTTCCATGATATGAACATCATCACCAGTGACAGTGAGTATTCTGTTGTTCTAGCTGTTTCCTGTTTTAATCTCATTAATTTGTGACAATGAAATGAAGCAGTCTGTGCTGTTAATTTTACAGTCCTGTAGTTTCTAAGCCACTAATGAAATTCAATGGAGCAGTGTAATCTTTTGTGTCTGTGTCTGGGCTGTCATTTGTCCCCTGCCAATTTTTATGATTATTCTCCTCTTTGGCATTTTACAGAAATTCATGCAAGTGTATTTTCAAAAACAAATCATCGTAAACTTGTGGAACTCAAGGGCTAAAGAATGATTTGAACTCAAAAAAAGTTAATCAGACAAGAAGTTTTCAGAATTTAGCAACATTAAAATGGACTGCTCCATGGTCAACTGTAATGAAAAGTAGCCACTACACCTACAGTATATCATAATATGTATAATACCATAATCAGAATAATTCAAAATCAAATTCTGTCAACGTGTATTTTACTATGACTTTCTAGATTAAGTCTGCTAAATCCTTCAAACATTTAAAAATATACAGATTGTAATTTACACGGGTGCCACATATTAAGTATTTAATGGGGATATTTTATTTAAAAAACATAGTCCCCCTAATGTACTTTTATGAATGTAAAATGTGTCTTAAATCATTTTCTTGAATGATGATTCCCAGAGCAGGAAGGGGGTGGAAAAAAAAATTCCAAAAATGAAATGAGCCTTTCTGAGAAAGGCACCTGACTGCTCCAGAATTTCCCATCAGCCTGAATTAGCTCAGTTTTAAATTGCAGTCCAGAAAACAGCTTCATGCCTGACCCTGATAGAAGAATTCAATCGTGATGGCGTGATATGGCAAGCAAAAGATACTTTCGAAATGAGAGTACAGCCCTGAAACATTTACTATTTCATCTTAGAGTGTGCTTCAAAATGTATCCAGTTATTCTAAATAGAATTCATTTCTGTTTCATTTTCAGTCATTTTCAATTCATTTTCAGTCAAATTTCTGACTTTGGGTTTTGGAATTGTGGCATTTGTATTTTTTTTCCTATTGCATAATACACTTACTGCATGAATTTCTGTGACAGAGGAAGTAGCACATAAAATCATCAAAAATGTACATATATATATAAAAAAAATCTGGTCTGCCTTGCTGTGTCCTGTATTTTCATGACAAAAGCAGATGCCTGGTTATTCATGTTACAATTGCGCCCTCTGCTTTTCATACATTGTATTGGTAAAGATAAGAGATCTATTTGAGAATAAAATATTAAAAAACAATGTTGTTCACTTACAAGTCTTTGTCTGTTCATCTGTAGTCCTGCCAATGCATCTCGATTTTGTTGTAGTTACTGTACCTCAGAGATGAATATTATGTATATATAAATTAAACCAATCATTTGAGATTATTAAAGAGAGATCAACTACTGTGTCATTCAAGTGTGAGGAAATAACTGTCTTAGAGTACTTACTCATCTAACAAGCTTAAAACTTGTCCAATGAAGAGTCCATCCATGCAAACTTGAAAATAAAGCATGCTAAATATTCTTAGTATTTATATACTGCTTTCGACCCTGAAGGATCTCAAATCACTTTACATGCTGTATAGGGGACCCACTTTGTCCATCCATTTGGGTTCTTTACAACATCAGGTGAAGAAACGGTGTTATATTAAGTAAATTCTCATGTCCCACTTCAGGATACTAGAGTTAACAGAGAAGTTAGAAGTTTAAACTGAACTAGAGACGGCATTGGACTGTAGATATTAAGTATGCAGCACAAAATAATTTTTAAATTACAGCACCCACTACTGTAAAAGAATTACCTCTGCCCAGAGAAGTTATTTTCTTGATTTATGGACACGATAAAATAAGAAAATATTAAATCCTGTGCCCATTAAACAATGGTGCCCAGCTCTGGTCCAACAGGCTTTATAGATATCTTTAAATCAGCGGCACATTAAGAGCTGGGATAAGCTGTTAAAAGCCCTGGCCTAAAAACCTGTAGGCACAATGACTTTCCAAGATTGAAATTTGGCACCCCTACCTTCAAGACTCACTCTTTGGATGTCAATTTGACAAAATTTAAAAGCAGAAAACTGCAAGTAAAGAGTGCGGTACATACAAATAAAAATGTGAACACTTTTAAACTTTTTTTTTTACAAAACAAGACTCATATTTTAATGTTTGGCAAATTAAAAAAAGGACATTTTAACAGCACAAAGAGACCGAATGAAAACATGAGTTAAGATCAGACCTGGATTTTACCCAGGTCTTTAGAAATTGCACAATCATAAGCTCCGTTTTTAGGTAAAGCTCCAACTGATTTCTTTTCAGAAAATATTTTTTTCTAATCACTATAACCTGCTTGTATTTCATGATGAGAGTGTTAACTATTTTAAATTACTTCCATAACAATTATGTTTCTCCTCATTTTGAGATTTATTTAAAGGAAAACGTTATTTTGCATGGCATATACTGTACTGTATTAGTATTCGATTTCCAATTGCACATCAGTTTTAAATTATGTGATTAAGTTTTTTTAACATAATAATCATAATCTTATAAAAACACAAAGATATTACATTTCCTACACATTTCAGTGAAAAGATGTACAGTAAATTGTGTTAAGGCTGGTCTCTTAAGCCTCTTGTAGGAGATATTATTCCATAAAAAGGTTCAAAAGAAAAATTAGGTTCAGGGATTTGGATGGCCATTACTTAGCTTACTCTCTCTTTCTGAAAACAGTGCTCAATTTAGTACAACATTAATTTAAAGCAATTAAAATAACACAAAATTGCTCCCTTGTGCCAAGCAAAATAAAGCATTTCCAAACATTTTTAACAAAAAAATAATTTGTACACCAAAAATATTAAATCATTCTTTCCAAAATTAAGATTACCTAATGATGAGCTTTTTTTGGGAAGCTTTTGCACCACTACAATTGAAAGCTTCAGTGCTTGAAAGTGCTGTGCTCCCACGGAGTACAACATTCTCTCCTACAAAAGAGCGTGCTTACACCACTCTTCTGCCCAGCAGTTCCATTACAGGTTCCAGGATTCATTACCTAAACGTTTTATCCAGTAGAGGGTCATGGGGGAACCGGAGCCTATCCCGGCAAGCAAGTGGCACAAAGCTGATACATCCTGGTTGGGGTATTAGTTCATTGCAAGGCGCACACACACCAGGGCCAGTTTTCCCAGAAGCCAATTCACCTTAAAGTATGTTTTTGGGCTGTGGGAGAAAACCTGAGCACCTGAAGGAAACCCACGCAAATGTGTGAAGAACATACAAACTACACACAGAGAGCACCCAAGCTTTGGGATTGGACCCAGACCCCTAGAGGTGCAAGGCAACACTGTGCCACCATGACACCTTTATTACAGGACATTATAAAAAGCCCTGGAGAAATATTTCTTTTAGGGCCACACAACGGACTTCATTTTCTTTTCCCACAGTACACTACAAAACTGGGATTGTATTATAAACTTGTTTGAGGGGTAGCAGAAAAATTTTGTTGACAGTGAAAATTTCAAAAGGGCTGCTAAATTGCAGTATGCACAATATAGTTCTAGAACAGGTAATGGAATATAAATATTGGCCATTGGAACTTCTTTGATACATTGAAAAGAATCAATGATTTTACATCTTAAAGTGCTATTCTCATATGTTTATTCTTAAAGTCACCAAGAGGAGCTGAAGGTGCTATGCCTCAGTCTTCTATCTCTCAGCCCAGCATGTCCCAGGAACAGCTTTTTGATGTTGCAATGGGGAATTGCAAAATGTGTTTCTATTCAAAACCTTCCCAAAATGGAATCACTGTTTCACAGTGGAGTTCGCTGAAATGATCCTGCACCAGACCAAAGGTCTCCAGCACACCAGCGATGGACTGGTTTACCATCTAACCCACTGCAATCTCCACAGTGCCCTGCAGGATAGTCACCATCAATTGAAGGAGTAGATGAGATATATCTCTCATAGATGACACTAGAACTTACTAATACAGTAGCTGTTGAGTTTTAGGGGTCTCTGGATTAGCTAGCTGTTTCAACCCCAACAACCTCCAAATGTGCTGAGCCAGTTATGCAGCGGTGCTTAGTGAATCAAAACTGTCAGCTTGCTGACAAAATAGCCCAGGTCCAAACTAGTGATACTGTATGTGGGACCTATTGGGCTTATACTACATTTACAGCAAGTGGCTTTCCAGGTTGGGCCACTCAAAAGTCCCCTTTTCATTAAAAATTCTATCACAAAATCAAGAAATCCCACCATTGCTCTTGAAAAATTAGGTCCTCGGTTAATGAAGGCCTCAAATTGTTACACCGATTCACTGGTAAATTCAATTCAATTAAATAAGAACTTAGCATTGGCTATGTGGCACAATGATCTACTATACGATACAGCCAATTAAAAAGACTTGTATTATACATTGGATAAAAGAGCTTCATGTGACAAATGCTGTTTTGTTCAAACATGTGCTATAAGCTCATGGTTTAAAGGCATGTCAATCTGAAAGTAAAAAGATGAAACTGTAATGACACTGTCTATGAAAATACATACGACGGCACCAACGGGTTTACACTATAAACCAGTCTTCTAATGTTGTTTTTAAAAAATCTGGTTCACATTTTTAAAAAATCCCGTTTTAATTCCAAAAATGAATTTGAACAGAACTTAAAATATACATCATCACTGTCATGTTGCCCAAGATGTCATATCAAATCACAACTTGTTTCAATATGACAGAAAGAAATGGACACTGAAGCAGTTTTTATCATCCTTAATTGTCTTTCAATCCAGAGAGGAACTACTTGGATGCACTGTCTCCAAAGTCCATCTTCTTCCCAGCCTTAGCACTGGGTTAAGAGAGCTACGAGACTGAACAGGGAGGCATAATCAATGCCTTCAGGTTCTTTCTTTTTAACTCCAACTGTCAGATATCAGTTCCCCTGCAGTTTTAGAGGCCTGTGGAATCCAATGATGTTTTTCCAGACCTCTAGATGTAGAAGTCTAGCTTTCCTCCAATAGTTTTGCAGCCCTTGACAGAGAAGACTTTTTCATCTTTGGGGAAATAGTTCATTTCACTGGCAACACTGCTGGCTGCTTCCTCATCTGGCTCTATTCCGCGGGCTCTCATCTCCGCTAACACACACATCCTCACATGTTTGTACTCCAGGGGCAGGAAGGGAATGAAAAAGTCCACCAAGTTCTTATCGATGAGGCTGGTGTGCCAAAATCCACCTAGAAGAACACAGGGGGCAGAGCAGGAATTATGACAGGCTTCAAATGTGAAATCCATTGTATCTACATGTGCTGAGTGAATTTGTGTGCTGGGATGTTCCTAGCTGTTTGTGGGCACATTTGGCTTCAAAGCCAAATAATTCAGCAATATCCAGGTTCTAAGAGGCTGATATCACTGATGATAATGGATTTACTGCCACTTAGCCTGTTATATGTACAACAAGATAAGTATTTAATGTGCATGTCACCATCACTTTGCCTATTTCTAATGTTTTATGACTAGAGTATCATTAATAAATTCTTATTTTTGGTTAAATTACCAAAATATGCAGACAAGACAAAATGTCATGATTAGTTTATCACTTTTGTCTTTTTCATCTAATAATAAAACAGGGATATAAGGGGACAAGAGCACATTAAGGGTGTTCGCTTAAAGGCATTAAAATCAAAGGGATATACAGTGCCTTCAGAAAGTACTCACCCCCCATTGATTATTTATTGTGTTTCAAAGTCACATTAAAGCTTATTTAAAAGTGATTTTTCCCCTCCTGTAGAAGTAATTATCTAAATGTTAAAATGAAATGAAGTATTTTGATGTCTTCAGAATTATATTAAAAATAATATTAAAAAAATTCCCCCCCTTGTTTTAACAACCTAAATTGGCTGATGTATTCAATTATCTTGAGAGATCACACTAAATACATTAACAAGGTACACCCTGTGCTCATTTCAAATCCACCTGTGTTCAATTGCTTGATTGCACAATAAATATCACTGACTTTGTGAGGTCTCAACTAAAACAGCAGATCAGATCAGTCCTGCTGTCATGAAGACCAAGGAGCTGCCCTTGGAACTTTGATAAGAAGTTGTTAGGAGGAAAAAAGCTGAAGAAGGTTACAAAAAGATTGGCAAAGCTTTGAACCTTCCTAGGAGCGCCGTGAAGTCCATTGTAGCAAAATGGAAACATATTGGCACATACTACGATCAGGCTGTCCTACCAAATTGAATAACCAGACAAGAAGATCAATTGTCAGAGAAGTGACCGAGAGGCAAGCTACAACACTGACAGAGTTGCAGAGCTCTTTTGAATGCAATTGAAAATTTGTGGTATGACCTGAAAATTGCTGTCCACTGATGCTCTCCATCTAATTTTGCAGAGTGAGAGCAAATTTGCATTGAAGAATGGGCAAAAAATCCACAATCTAAATGTGAAAAGCTCATACAGACATACCCAAGAAGACTCGTGGCTGTAATTGCTGCTAAAGGACTATGTACAAAGTATTGACTCAACGTGTTAAAATTTGGAGGTGTAACAGGAACAAAATAAGAAAGGGGTGAGGGGGTGAATTCTTTCTAAAGGCACTGTATTTACACAAAGGGGTATGGTGATCTGGAACAGCCACCTCTTCAGTACTGACACTGTCACTGCAAGTTCCAAATTCTAGAGATCCTTCGAGAGGTTTGACAGCAACCAGTCAAAAAGGACAGGCCAGTTGTTCTCTTTTCAACTGCTACCTTTTTGTTCACATCTCAGAATCAAATGTCAAAACTGTCAGAATCAAATCAGTCAAAGATTATTAAAATCCTCAATACAAAACAGAATTCTACTTTTATCCTTAAAGTCGCATGTAAAGAGTTTTAAAAAGCTTATGAGAAACAGAAATCAAGAAATCAGAAGTCAAAGCAAGTTACTCTTCTGGCACTGCAAAGTGACTTAAAATCAGTGACCTCAAGATTGCCAGAAAACAAAATGTAACACCATGAGATAAAAATGTAACATTATTAATTTATCTAACAGACACTTTTATCCACATCAACTTGCATGTGTTTCAATTACCTATATATTTATATCAATAGAGTTTCTGGTAACAATCTATACAGATAACATCTTGATCAAGGGGACACCAACAGAGTACCAACAATCCCACCTGGGATTTGAACCAGCGTCCCAACCACACCTCCATGCTGCCATTCCCAGGTCACATCTCGACTAAATTTTGCAGAGAAACCAAAAGAGAGGCAGGAGAGCAGAAAGTGAGAGGAAAGACAAGAAACAAATGTGTCGTACTCTTTTTGTTGTTGAAGACATCAAGAGAGACCTGGGTCTCCAGATCCTTTAGCTGAATGTCTTCTCTCTCCTTCCCATCTTTCCAGAAATCAAGGACAATTCTCGTTATGTTTTCGCCACCAGCATTGCTGTAAAAATGGAAAGATGGGGGGAGAAGCAGAGGAGAGAACTGATTGGTGTCAAGGCTCCTTGACAGTATCATCAAATTCATTTGAAACACAGAAGGCAAGAAATGTTTCTACGACTCTTCATGAACCAAAACTATTTAAACTGAAGAGCTTCTGTAGGCACTTATGCCTGACTAGACTGTTATTTTCATTAAAACAAAAACATCCAATATGGTAGGAAAACAAGAATCCAAGGTAGGAGACAGACTTTGTTTTGACAGTAACTATATATTTTACATTCATAGCATTAAGTGTTGAGGGATGTAGTACTCTTTCAAAGGACTTCTATTTGATGTAGCTTAATTTATGAACAAAGGTGCTGACTGTACATACTGAGTGCACTAGAACAAAGCCAAAAGTGAATAGAGTAAACCTTCTAATATACCTGAGAAAGATGAATATAGACTGGCGATATGATACACCATCCAGATTTTCATAGTAATCAAGGAATGGTTTTATGCTGTCAATCAGTCCAGGGTGCATTTTATCCATTTCATCGAATATGAACAGGGATCGAGCACAATTGGTCACATTCCCTCGAATCCACTGCTGTAGTTGCACCTGTACAGAAGGCAAAGATGCAGATGATACAAATGAGCAAGGGTCCAACAGCTGAGTCTCATAACCAAAGTCAGATAAACAAATATTAATAATTTCTTCAGCAATCCAAAGCATAAACAGCAATTTTAATTAAAGTTTTGCATTTCACAAAGTGAAAGCTGGGAAAAAAAGCTTTAGGCAAAAAAAAAAATTCTGAAGCCCTTCATGTACTGCTGTTTGGAGAAAAAGTATACCGAATGTTGCCATCAGACTCCACGAAGTTTCAAGTTCTAAAATGAAGGATTTAGGTTTTTCATTACATGGGTTATTTTGGGGGTTTTACTTTGAATACCATCAAGCCCAGAATATTTTCAGTAGCCAGAAGAATTAAATTAAAATATTTCAGCTGTCTTAAAGGCAATAGTGCAAAAACTAAATGGAAAATAAGTCTTCATGAGCAAGTTTGTTTAAGAGTTTGCCTTCTCCCACATTAGGCTGACTTAGGTCAAAGTCCTGTTTGCTAAGCTTGAACCCAGTGGCCCTTCATTTTGAAGTCACTTATCTTTATTGAGTCACAATATATACAAGGTAACATCTCAACAGGTTACTAGACAAACAAGATGTATCAGGCAGCCTGACAGTTTCTATAAGCACTGGCATAATGGAGTTTAAGTGTTTGAGGAAAATTAGTTGGGCAGTTTCTTGTTGCTTTAATGAGCATCAAGTGGGTTAAAATTGATGGGCAAGCCATCAATTAACCCAGAAGGAGCTTTAAAGACAAGACACATACAGTAGGTAAGGCAACATTCCAGCTGGTTTTCAGTCCTTTCTTATGATTATTGTAATCACAAAAGAAAAAGTAACATGTAAATCCATCCATCCTTTTTTTTTACTGTTTCATCCAATTCAGGGTTGCAGGGGCAGCCAGAGCCTATTCTGGCAAGCAAGGTGCACAAGGCAGGACAGACAGGCACGCTGTACAGGAAGCCAGTCCATTACAGGACACTCACACAGACGCACACACACTCACACTGGGGCCAATTTTCCCAGAAGCCAATGAACCTACCAGTATGTCTTCGGACTGTGGAAGCAAACCGGAGCACTTAGGAGGGAACCCACGTGAACATGGTGTAAGAGGACCCGGGGAAGGGTCATCTCTAACAGGTATTTCCGAAACGAAACGCTGAAAATGCTAGAGATTGACCTTAGCAAGATGGCGGACAAAAAGAATCAGCTGACCAGTAGATGGAAAGGGTCTACCTTAAGAAACAACGAGACACAGCTGAGATGCATCAGGAACCGGAATATAAGTGGCCCGGAGGCAGTGAACAGGGCGGAAGCCGGTAAGGTGAATGCGTTTTGGAGGAAAAGAGTGGAAAGAGGTGGATGTTAAGGATCGGGCTAACGAACGACTGCAAGGAGAAAGGTTTATGGTTCTGGATTACGGACACTGGTTTAGGATACATCGCGGATTGTCTTTATTACGAACTTTTGGAACTCGGAATGAATCAGGACTAAGGGAACGGATTACGGACTGTATTAGGAAGACAGTTGTTGGAAGAAACGCCACGGATCGGAGGACAGTAAAGTGTGGTGTAAGTACTACTTTCGTTTACATAAACTATCCCCCGGAGACACCACAATGGGGACAACATACAAACTCCACACAGATAGAACCCCAAGCCCAGAATTGAACCCAGGGCCCCAGAACTGTGAGGCAGCGATGCTAACTACAGCGCTGCCAACATGTAAATCATGTAACTTAAAAAAAACATTTTTAGAACAAAGTGTACTGCAGTGTACTAAAAAGGCTGTTCAAACATGGTATTTCAGACACTATAGAGGTTTATTAAGTTAGACTTTTGTGGAGCAGGTGTTGCATACGACTCACTTACCTTATACTGGTCAACGTGACTGGGGTGGGGAAAATGAGCAGTGGAGACAAACTGGTGCACATAGCCACTTGCCATGCCTTTCTTGTAAACATTCTCGGCTATCAGCTGCGTGACGAAGTTCTTGCCCGTCCCAGTCCACCCATGGAGGGAGAGGACCAACGGCTTCTTCGGGTTTTTGTTGTTCATGAAGCCTGTCACTGCCTTCAGAATAACCTTGGAGGCCACGTGCTGGCCGAACAGTTTCTTCTCAAGATCAGCCTCCAGACCTGGGGGAATAAAAATGAGGAAAAAAATCCTCAATTTCAAGAAACATTTGACAGCTAACATAAGACATGCTCCTTCTTGGAAGGGCTCAATTAGAACCTTAAATTAATGACAAAATGCAGAAACTTTCCAAATTACTCTTCAGGTACTCTACCTGGTTAATTTTCTCAAATTATAAGAGCATGTCGGTAGGATCTTGTACTCTCAATGCTAAAGCCCAGGTTCCAAATACTTACAGTATAGCCTGATCTCATTAGATCTCAAAATTCAAACATGCTGAATCTGGCCTTAAGGGGATGTGAGACAACTACGTTAAACCATCATCTTGTTGTTGAGGATGACTACTGTAGTGGTGAAGATAACTCATAAGGTACAGAAATACAGAAAACCTACACAATATAAGCTTCCTTCACCTTATGGCTTATCCATTTTTAGTTTACCTAAATTCTTGCAAAACCTGTATTTCTTATGGTAGGTAAGGGAATGAGGACCATACCTTAAAATCTTCCAACTTCCGTGACTAAGAAATTACAGGACTATGTCTAATCACCTAGTCTTACCTAAAATCTTAGAGAAAATGGTTCCAAACCAACTACATGATTTCCTTAAGTCATGTGATATCTCAAACGTGTTCATGCTGCTCATAGCATAGTGTCCTTTAATCTCTGAATTGCATTGCCCTTATACTACTAGATAAATGCAGCTTTTGACACCTTTGGCCACCAAATATTAATTGTTTAGAAACATTACACTTCTTGTTCTAGATTTGTGCTCTCTTTTAAATTATACCCACATCTGGAGTCCCACAAGGTTCCCTTTTCAGGCCTATTGTTTTCATTACACATGCTCCCACTATGAGACATCATCATAAAACAATGTACAGTGCAATTTTACTGAAATCAGAATTTAGGAGTATTGTTTGATCAAGAACTCTCATTTGATTTATACATAAACATGCATAAATTAGCTTTTTTCCCCCCATCTAAAAAATACATCTTCAAGATAAAGTGATTTCTCTCAACGAACAGCACAGAATAACTGGCACATTCATTTCTTACATGCAGACAAGACGTTTAAAGATAATGGGCTATATTCTGGAAAGCTATATCCAGACCTCAGTTCATTCATAATGTCGCTGCACATCTCTTTGCTAAAAAAACCTCAAGCATATAATTCCAGTATTAACACCTTTACACTGGCTCCCACATCATTACAGGACATACAGTAGTTTAAAGCAACCCTTTAGACCTACAAAGCACTAAAAGGTCACACTCCCACCATATTTAGAAGAACTTCTAACAACAAACACACCAAGCAGAGCTCTTTGGTCTGAGGACAGCAGGTACTTACTGTAGTAGTCTTAAGAATCTCCAAAATAACAGTTGGCTTAATCTACAACTGAACAAGTAATAGGTTTATTCCATGCTGAAAAAAAGAAGAAAGAGAACACAACGTTTCGGCCGTGGAGCCTTCTTCAGGTGACACTGATCAACATCTTCAAAAACAACAAATTGTTCTAGTACCTAATCTATTACATTTACCTATCAAACCTAATTGACCTTCTTGACCTGAAGAAGGCTCCACGGCCGAAACGTTGTGTTCTCTTTCTTCTTTTTTTCAGCATGGAATAAACCTATTACTTGTTCCTTTGCAGCCTACGCATGCTGACGCAGCTACCCACCTGAACCTTAATCTACAACTTACAAGGCCCCTCATAGGCTCAAGACCTATTTGTTAAGTCCATTTGGTTTTTCTTAGCCTATACTATCACAGGGCAATGTTCAGAGCATGATGCATGAATTTATTTACTTCTAACGGTGGCCCTAAACCCCATCACACACTTCTCATCATTTTCAGATTTCCACTGTCAGGATCCCAGCGCTGGGTTCTGGGTTCTCACGCTAAGCATACATGTCTCGATGGCCAGCAACATCAGATCTAGGACAGCAGAATCCCAGCCCTTGATATTATATATATATAATATATAACTACTTTATTAACCCTTTACAATTTCTTGCATTAGAAATGATCTTTTCGCATACCCCAGACAATCTATTACAGAGATTGTCCAAAATGTATTCAAAGTTAAGATACCACAAGCTCTCTGCATGGTGGGGGAGGCACTATAGGGCCCAGAAGTTTATTTTCTCACACTGGGAGTTCTAGTTTTCCTCTCCTCCACGCCCACATGGCTTACCGTTGATTTGTTATCAACTGCTATATAATTCTACAACATGCTTTTGTGTCAAACCGTTGTGAAGGGCTATAACAAATACAAAATTAAAATCTTGATCGACTGTAGTCAATTCTCTTCTTCTTTGCCTGATCTGCTACTATGAAGTGGGGCTGTTTGTGCATGACACCTGCCACATATCTCTCAGGTTGGAGCTGAGCTTCAGTTATGGATGAATGACAAGACTTCCCTCAAATCTGTAAAGTGCTACACAAATACTAAAATTATTAATAGACGGAACCAGATGTAGCCATAAACCAACACAATGAATCAAAGTCAAAAGACATGGGACACATCAGGTGCTTTAATAAAACAACAACACCAACAGCACGCTGGAATCCCTATCAGACACTAGCAGAAGCTGATCCCCTCCCTGTCACAGCAAGTGCGCTCTTTAACTCACCAGCTATGCAAACTCTTTCACAGGATAATTCACCACAGAGTTAGGAAAACCCCATTCTTGGGTTCTCTATACATATACATCTTCTGACAATAGAACACACTTTTACCTACTGAGACAAATTGATTGGTGAAAAAATAGGCAGGGGGCATAATTTAAAACAACCTTTTGTTAAAAAGAATACATGCATCATTTGTCATTGGGTTTGCCAAAGGAATCAATTAAGCTGTTTAAAATTATTTCTGACAGCAAAAGAACCACAAAACATATATAGACAGTCTGTGTTATTAGGTGGGTCTTCTTCTTTTACAGTAGAGACATACAGTATGATTTTAATTTTCCGCCTCAGGTTGGCACAAACACAGTTATACTGTATGTACCACATTTTTCTTTTAATGGAAAGAATCTATGGTACCAACCAGGACATAAGATTCAGATTTTTTACAGCTCACTATGGATATTTAAAGTATTTTAATCACAATCACACTAAATATGTGATAAAATAGTGAATCGAATGTAGGACTATTCTGTAAACAGAAACTAAAGTATTTTTTTTATTTTGTATTATACATCTTTGTGTGCCACAGTAGTGTGTGCATTTTGTATACAGTAAAAACTGCATTCTCCGTTATTTACAACAGGACTCCTACAATGTTTTAGCTACTTATAGAACAAAAAGCGCGAATTAGTTTCAATGAAAATAGAAAGCAAAAACCAATCACAAGACATTATATGAAAAATAAACTACATTTGATTGCATGAAACAATTTCTTAATGTCTTTTGCGATGCAAAAGACTTCAAACCAGATGGTAAAACTGGTATAGTGACTGAAAAAAACAGAAATTCAACAAAATAATTAACGGATTCTACCTGTCGCCGACATCTTGCTATCGTCGAAATCGAAACTATCTTTGTCGATATTATTTCTTAAATTAAAATCTAAATCAACCCAGAAACTTAGAATTACGAATGGTGTTGCCTTACCGGTGGAATTAAATGCGATCCATTTGTCGTTACAGTTTTCATTAAAGTAATTGTATATTGTTCTTCCTAAATATGCACTTATGCCCCCAACTATAAAAGTGGTAGAGATGGGCTCAAATGCATGAATACACACGAAGGAAGTATAAAAAAACAGCAGCAGACCCTGGCGCAGATTTCTCATGATATATTTTAAACAAAAGATATAGAGTGTAAAGAACAGTTTTTCCAGTGTAGCCAAAAACAAGCCTGCATGGAAAAGAGAACAGAGCCTGTCAGCTAACTGACATCCGCAAATGACGTCCTTTCAGTGCGACAGGGCGGTTCGGTAAACCCCCAAACGCTTCCGTCACCAATGCACATGAAATTTTCCTATCACTTAAATCTAATTTCACCAGCTTTTACTAATAAACTTGCCTATTAAAAATAATAACTGCAATAATCATGTTATCTGTAAGAAAGATTCTTAAACTAGTAAAAAATAAAATGAAAAACTTACAGAAATCATGACACGCAAAAATATATTATCCCAACGTTAATCAGTTGCAGTGTATGCACATTATAAGTTATTTGTGGTAATACAATAGTGTCCTTGTAAATAGGACATCCTAGTAGAATATAATGAGTTGTAAAAGCATTTGTGATCTTGAAAAACAAAAATGCTAAACTCAACGCAGTTTATGTACAAAGTTACTTAACGAATTCGCCGTACGTGTATACATTTGTGCCGGAGACGCACATCTTAACTCTTATCAATAGAAACCGAACCAGGTAGTTATAACAAATATACCTGTATACCAAGACCAGGTACGAATGAGAAATACCGTAGGACCTTAGAACTAATAGAAAATACCTTACCAGATCTGTTAAAGGAGATCCACTCTTCTCTACAGCACTCGTGAAAGTAGTAGAGCACATTCTGGTAGGTGGCGAGGAAGCCGGTGAGGGCTGCCGCCATACCCACGGCGATGCTGGTAGTGATGGGCTCAATCGCTGCTGCCATCATCACACTCCAAGACGTCCAAACGACAAAAAAAACTCGACCCTGAAGTTTCATTGTTGTCTCTCTTGTTGCTTTCCTTATCAACAAAAACCGAATAAACTCCTTGGGGGGAAAAAGTTCTTGAAGAAGTCACTGTACTGTGCTAAGGTTATAAAAACATTTACTTATAAAACACAAAAAGTGTAGTTTACTCTAGGAACAGTATATATTCAGTTTTCCAAAAACGTGGTCTGTCAATATCAGGACTTTCAGTTTTTTTTTTTGGAGTGTTCTAACTCACATACACGAAATAAGTTCACTATACCAGTACAATCTTTGATCCTCTTCAGTGAATCGACAGCTTGCCTGCTCACTAATCTTTATGACGTCATTTCCCGAAGTCGACGCCATCTTTATCAGGGGAAAAGGTGAGGGGCAAGGTGCATGTTCAGAAGTGAGCTGCTTATCCTTTGAGAAAGTATCATTATACAGTATGTCGTGTTAGTTTTTATTATGGTGATAATGAAGATAAATAAAAAAACACGGCATCCACGTTATTGCGGCAAGAGATCTTTGCATCAGCTTTAATTAAAAACGCATAGCAATGTATGTGTGGCTACTGTTGAACTACAATTTCTACCTAAAACAGCCAACCTTTATCATAAATCACTGAAGACTAGCATTATCTCGGAAAAGACGGAATTAATAATTAAAATGGGCAACTATTTTACACAATAAATAACAGCATTGAACGGGAACAGACTTCAGAGCATATTGTCCATTTTAATTAACCTGTCGTTAACATTGATAAATTAGTATCCAAACGTCGAAATATTTTTTTCTTATTTAAAAATGTTAACATAATACCAACGAAATGGCAAGGTTAATGTAAACATTTGGTTTGCATCATCCCATCTTTGCCCTGAATGAACTTTGAACATCAGAATGAACGTCGACTCCAGGGTTGAATTATACCGCTATTACTACAGAACGAAATTATTTGGCAGCCTAGAGATGTTACCAAATTCTGAGTGACTTTTAACCCACAGTGTTTAAAACTGATAAATGACCAGACAAACATTGCTAATCTATCGCCTGCATGAACTCAAAGCTAAGAAAAATGCAGTTTAGTAAGGACAGAACTAAAATCAAAATGTTGTCTTATTTGAAACCTTTTACAAATTTGTATACTTACAGTAAGTCTAACAACAAAATTGAATTAGGCACATGTAGTAATACAGACCTAATATAATATTTAAGCACCACACAGACTATCAATCATGTGCTCTTAGGTCGAGAGCTGAAATTACATTGGGCCTTCACTGTTCACGGTCACAAGGTTACTCTGTAGTTTTCCATTCTACACTACCATGAGAATCACAATGTTTAAACGAAAAAAAAAACACTTCGAAATTTTCAGTTTGACGGCCACAAAATTTAACTTACATCACAAGAAAAACATGTGCTTTCATACGACTGAATTTACTCAGGCATTAAAAGGAATACATCTATTGCAAACGACAACCGGTACAATAATATTGATTGTATAGAAACACGACATAGCACTTTTAGGTTTTCTCGTTGCTTTTTGGGAAACATAGCTATACATTCCCGTGATTCCTATAGGTTCAAATTATTTAACTGACAGTACCAATTCTGTTATTGACACTAGATGTCACTAAAGCGTCAAAGATTAATGTGCTTTAAAATTATTATAACTATTTTTGCTTTTATGGTATACTAAAAATAATATTAGGAACGTTGTTTTTTTTTTATTTGGAATTTGTATTCCCTACATTTCTACATGTATATGTGATGTAAGCAATTCAACCGACTTTAACCCAAAATGTTTTGTTTTAAATAGTTAATAGAAATGAATGTAAAGAAAAATGATAAAAATAAACTAAAATGAGAAGACAAAAATGGCAGTAGGAATTAAAATAAGGCTTTCAGCCAAACATTGTTTTTCAGATTTCTGTATTGATGCTCAGTTTTTAATCTCATTCTAAATTAACATTAACCTTTTGTGCTATATATGAAGTAGAGTACTTCCATTTTGAAGCAATAAAATAAGTGTGTGTAGATCTTCATCATTCTAAAGATAAAAGAAAACAGGAAATCATCTAGATTTAAAAAATGTAGTAAAATGCATTTCAAGATCCTAATAGTCTAATACGCATTCAATGTGTTTCTTTTCTGAAACTGGATTTTAATGTAATAATTTAAAAACCGTACCATTTTCTTTTTCTACATGAATGAAAAGCGGGAGAGTGTTAGTTATAAAAAGCATGAAGTCAAGTCACATTTCTCCTGTGTTCTGCTGTTACATCCTCTGCACACGTTAACAATGTTGGAATAAGACCTGAAATAGCTGTAATTGATTCCATCTGGCCCCCAGCAGACCAGAGCAAGCAGTCTATAATAGATGAATGGTAAGTTCAGAAGAATGTGCAGAGCCTCAAGACAAATAAACCTGACTATCACAGCCTGCAGGATTCAATTCACACTCCAATTGTACCCCACTTCATCAAAGACTCATTATCCATCCATTATCTATTAGCACAAAGACGCATACTCCTGGTAAGGGTCACACTGAACGATAAATTAAGTTGTAGGAGGTGCTGTATCATAAATAATTTGCTAGCCCAGGACTGCCTCCTACCATTTTTTTTCTGCTTGAACTGCTTGGTTTCCCCCCTCCCACACATACGTGCCATTTCTAGCAAACGATTAATTAAGAATTATTAGCATTTTCATAGAACTTTTCATCCCAAAGGATCCAAATGCTCTTTACAAATGAATGGGAATCCACTTCACCCATCTCCTTCTGTTGGAAGGGAAGGTCTGAAGACTTTATCTTTCATTCTTGGATATCTGTATTGGGGCATACACTGTCATGTGTTGGAGGTGGTTGTTATCCACACTACAAGGTGAACCTACAAGAAGCCCGACAAATCTACAGTATGTCAAAGGTAAGAGCTATATAACTAAAAAGGACACCTTCCTCTTCTTTAACTAGTCTCACAGGCCACCCTTCCTACTGTCACAACTGGCCGACATGACAACGCTTAGACTTTCACTACTCTTTATATGCCAAGTGAGCTCGTTCAGTATATCAACCCCTTATGGTTTGGAACTGGCAAGGCTTGTGCAGCAATGACAAATCCTTTGGCTCAGCAGATTTTGTTAGCTTGCCTGTGGACATGTGGCTTTTGTGGTCTGGGAGATGCCTGAGAGATGCCAGTTGAATCTGGGTAAGAGATGAACCACACACACCACAGATGCGCGTGCCCCAGAACACGCAAGACAACATTATGGTTTGAATGTTGGGCAATGAGACAGTCCAGGCTTCGTTTTCCTCTCTGCAGCAGTTCTAAAACTCTCCTGACCTACTGTGTGTAAAGATACAATACTCTGTCCCACAGCCACAGGCTCCCCAACAATATAAACTTACTTCAGTGATCACTACATATGCAACATGTGTTTATATTTGAGAACAATTTGATCCAAGACAAATGGTCAAACATCAATAGAATTTTGGTTCCAGAGGAGAGTTTTATTTTTAAGAATGAGTTCATTTAAATTCTGTTTAATTGCAGTGGTGTTGAATGTTACAGCTAAATACCTCAGGTATTACTCTTGAAGGTTTTCAAATATTTACATATGTAGGAATTAAGTTAAGTACTTCTTTCAACATGAACATAACTATTTCAAATGATGCATGTATGGTGTTACCAGAAGTTAGAAATCACAGGAGAGCCCATTACAATTTAATGCAGGCCTATATTTTCTGGTTCTTTGATGCTTTATAATTGCTCAGGATGGGCAGCTATTCAGATATGCAGCCACAATCTTGTAATTTCCCAGACAAAAACATGGCAAGATGCAATGGAAAAAGAAGCCCACTTTATTTAAATCCAAGGTATTTAGTGTGTCTCTGATGACTCTGATGACTCCTGCAACAGAATTTCTGCAGAAACGAACCAACAGCTACAGAAGTTACAGTATATTTCAGGTTCAGTAAAAGTAGCAGCAAAACAAACAGCCTTTACAGCGGCTGTATAGCCTGAGAATACATATTCCTCATGATACCTCTCTCTCAGGAGGAATGTTAGTTATAAATCAAGAAGCAGAAGATATGTTTAATGGCTTCTTCACTCACCAAATTCGTGTTTGATGAATGAAACATGAAACAGGAATATTACAGTAGGACATGTGGTGAGGCTGTTACTGTACACCACCACAAGGAAACACAGATGTACAGTATTGGAACTGAATTGTGAAGAAAGATTTGTCTTTATTTTTTTATTACAATTGATAAAACAGCACGCCTGTGATTTTTATTAACTTTTTATTCGGGGCATTCTCCAAGAGAGTATCACGGGTGGATGCTGTGTTTATTTTTCTGGTTTGTAAATCTTATAAATATGCCCTGTCTGTGCAGAGCATTCGGTGTGTCATGATTTTGAAGTTATAATTCTCTTGACACACTCACACAGTGATCATGTTACCTGTACCTCATGTACTTTGTGTTATAATATAAAACTCCTGCACATCTTATATTACACAAAAATAGCTATAGCAATAGAAACAGCATTTTGTTAAAAATAGTGTGGTGACCGTTGGAAATGTTGGTGATAGAGGAATGTGATAAAACAAAAGGTTTATTGTATCTCTTACAAAAGTACTTTGAAAAATCACTACCGCTTATGGCTCTGTGGTCTACCTTATACCACCGGTACAGAACACCCCCACATACAGTGTTCCTACCTAGTACAACAGTGACTTAATTCATTATATCTGCTGTGACCCAAGGCTGTTCCAACACATACTGTTGTACAAGGCTTGATAATCCTCTGTAGAAACAGGCTGATCTGAAGTGGGGGAACCACATGGACAGATGCCAAAATAAAACAAGCTCATTCAAGTCCAATAGAAGGAATCTGGACATTATACTGTATATGAGTAAAGGTTTTCCATGAATTATATCTGGGAATGGTAACAAAATGTTTTTCTACTTGCAGAACTGAAAAGTAGCAAGCGCATGGCCTTACATGTAAATGTGGATTGTTTATCTTGGTCTCACTGGCAAAGGAATATGAATCCTAAAGTAATTGAACATATGCAAAATGAAGAGGAGTTTTCTGCGGGTAATTCTGTTCTGCATTTTAATTGTTAAACGTAGAATAAAGCTAAAGTCCACAACAAAGCAAGGGTTTATTAACTCGTACTGACAGCCTGTTTCCTGCTATTCTACGGGTGTAAAGCATTTTTTTGTACCTTGAAACATGCAGTTAACAAAGTCTGTATATGGTATTAACTAGAAAAGTACCATTACCTTTGCCCCTGTTTTTATCATTTTGAAATTCTGTTTCCTT